CCTAGCTCGTTGCATTTTTTACGACCTCCGTTGTGGTTTCACTTTTCGTACTTCAGACATACGACTGCGTGTATGTTCGAAGAGCCATACAATGAATAAGCGAAATGCTTTTTTCGTTAAAAAAAAAAAACATTTCTGATTAGATTCGAACAATTTCGTCGTTGGAATAAAATACGACCATTTGACCAGTTTGACACTTAACGAAAACAAGACAATCCGTTGATACTCATCGTGAATGAAATTATCATTCTCATTCTATATTTTACAAACGACAGTTGTAGCAGCAGTAGCAGCAGAATGAAAAAAAAAATAAACAAATGAAGAACACGGCTTCCCACTAGAGAATAGATTATTTTTAGCAAAACGCTTAACCGGCCAATGTTCGTGTGCCATTGTGAATGGTGTCGATCACGAATTCTCTCATCGTATTACTGCTGTTGTTGCTGCTTTATTTGCGCTCGCTCGCTGTCATAACTCGAGCAAAAGTCTCGACTCATATCAACCGTTTTCGTAATAATCAAAAGTGTCGAAAGAAATCACCGATTTCTGATATATTCTCAGAATTGAATCGGGTAGAAGAACAGAAAAAAAAACGACAAATGCGTTGACAGAAATAAACAAAAGCGATTTCGTCGCATGATTACTAATTGTATTTCATCCAGCTAGGTATTTTTTTGAATGGTGATTTTCCAAATTTGAGCTCACGAACCGAATATAAATCTCGAGCGCGAACTCGCAAGAAGTGCGAATTATAAAGTCCAATGAACAGACGACGACGACAAACGGCAAAAATCACTCGAATAATGACGAATTGAATAAATTAGAGCCGTTGTCGTTTAGCTTGAGGAGCATAAAACTAAACCGAATCCAATGTGATCATTTGTGTTTTGGGTTACGCGCGCGTGCGCTGCAAACAAGCCGTGTTTTCAAAAATCATTGGTTGCATTGATTGTCGCTCAATATTGCACCTTATTATTGTTTATTGGAATCAACTAAAACGCTGAGGGAAAAATATCATGCATATGCAGATTGAAAGTTTCGCGCTAGTGTTTTTTATCCGATCTCAATCGTCACACAACACAAAATACCGTGCGACCACATATTATTTTTCAGTGAACAAGAACCGATTTTTCTCTCTCTCTCTCTCTCTCTCTCTCTCTTTACAAACTCGGATCATTAGAATGGCATTAAAAAAAACGTCGGTGATTACATTTTTTTTTTCATTCTGTATCCTTCTCTTATTCTTTGTGCGTTGTTTCTTTCTGTGTTGTTCGAGTTGACTATGTCATAAAACTATAAGAACTAGAATTTGTCTTGATTTTCAAATTAATTTTATTCAAAGCAACTGTAATAGGTGTAGCAAATGTACGGTGTGTGTTCGAGAGCAAAATGTAAAGAAAGAAGAGAAGAAAAAAAACTCGTTTTCTATTTTGAATGATGGATTTTGTTATGCATGTGACGCGACACGCTTTTTTACGCTCTTTGTTTCAATACGACATCTCGACTAAAGCCCCATGCACACGAACGAACTCAACAAAATATTTATTAGTGCAATCACATTGCAATAATCGCTTTATTTTCATCTTCGCATTCTTTTATGTAAACACACTGTTCTCATCTCGAATTGAGTCATCTTTTTTTTCGCTTTCGTTCACGTTAAATTTTTTCATTGCAACATTTCTTTTTCTTCTGATTCTGTGAGTTTTTCTTTTGTTCAGTGTGTGTCGTTTGTTTGTTTTTTTCTTTACATAATGAAAGTAGCAACAAACGATTGTATAATCTCGTAGCGTAGAAGAGTTGTCGTCTAATGGATGTGTGTCATTCAGTTCGTTTCGAACGATGTTATTTACGTTGCAAATTGAAAGATTCGCTTTTCGAGCCGAATCACTTTCGACTTTCTTTTGGATTTGGCGCGATGGCTTTTCGACAACCGAATCCAAAGTGATCATTCTTTCTGGGGGATTGCGTGTTCTCCGTGTGGCCCACAAATTTCGACGTTCCATTTCATTTCTATCGCAAAGAATGCACAACTTTCGTTGGCTTGGATTTCGAAGTGGTCAGTGATTTACGAGTTCAACATATGTGTGACTTGTTCCTTACACCTTACAAACAGAACGTTTTTTTTTTAAATTTCTTGTTTGCAACACTTTTGATGCCGGCTCGAGAAAAAAAAAACCGAAACAAAAATAAAAACAAAGTCAACACATATCGGTAGCGAAAGAATCGATTCGAATCACAAATGATTTTATTTTTAATCGGACGAAAGCAAATTAAAAATAGAATTCGAACTCAAAAACAGAAGAAGAAAAACATAACGCAGAAGAGAACTGCGGAAACGCATATTCCATCAATTGTGTGATCGTTCGATTAGCATATCTGATTTTATTGCGATTATAGAATTGCGTCAATTCGTCTCGTATAAGCAGCGTCAATTCACATGGCACAGTGAAGGCTCCTCTTCATTTTTTTTTTTTTTCATTGTTTGGATCAGATTTTATGATCCATAAACTTTAAACTTCTGCGTTCTTACTGAAGACGAAGGGAAAAAAAAACACGAAAGAAACCACAAATCGATGGTGAGCATGTTTGGCACCAATTTATCATATATCTTATCTCGCAGCAAAAATGGCTGATTCTTCTTCTGATTCGCATTCATTGTTGTTGTTTAATGTCTCGATGCTTTGTTTCATCAATTTAAAATGACAGTTTTGTTAATTGGAACCTGTCATTTGTGGCTATTTTATTAAATATCTCTTTTATTTGAAAAAAAAGACGAACAAAAAAACCGCGATCGGATATCTAAATTTGATTGCAGCTGAACAAAAGAAAAAAAGCAAATAATTCGACTTTGATATAAAAATACTTCTGTTTTCTTTCACTTCCAAAAGAAATCTTGAAACGGAGTTTTTTCCATCGTATTACGCAGTTCGTCCATTTCAAAAATAAAAATGAAAAAAAAAAAACAGAGTAAAGGTGAAATTCATGCAGAATTAAGAAACCAGTTTGCCATTTGTTTGCATCAAGTGGTTGAAGCGTTTTTTTTTCTTCTGCGATGCAAGTATTCTATCTGTGCGTTTGAAGTTTGAAATCAAACTCATTTGAAACTCATGCTCAAGTGAAAATGCAATTAACTAACTACCATAGCAACCACAGCAGCAACAACGAAAAATCTAAAACCGGACGATGTGTTAATTGAAAATTGGCAGTTATGACTCCCACAATTGGATACACTATCAGATCGTTGCATGAGTAGAAAAAAAAATGTGAAAAAAATCGATAATTGCAAGCTTTTAGTGATTTCGAGTGGAATTTTTATCTGACGAACACACAATTCCATATCACAAACACTATATCGATGATATGAAACAGAGACGGATTGCAATGCGAATTCTCTCTAATTAATCAAATTACACTTTAAGCGATTTTTCGTGTCTTGGAATACCATGTGGCCGATTAAGCAGACGTGAACTAAACGAACAACTATTGAACATTGCATGCCAAAAATTAAATAAGCTATAACAAAATGAAGAGAAAGAAAAAAAAGGGAGAGAGTGAGAGAAAAGAGCATTAAATGTGATCTTGAAATGTTATCGGAGCGAACTTTGTCTTCCCGTTCACGTGATCTTGGTGTTATCGAGTAATTTTATTACTTTAACACATTTTTACGAATAAAATACAATCGAAATTATGGGGCCACCACAAACCGACGTTTGACCACACAGAGTTGTCTAGAATACGCGTCGCAAAATTTCATTCCCACTCTCCCCTTCTCTTTCTTTCTCTGCCGCTTTCTGTTTCTATCTCTGTCTCCCTTTCTTTGAATACAACGCACGAACAACAACAACAATCAGAAATAGACGAAACATGTTCTGTCGATAAAACACAATTCAACGATTTGCGCCAAGCCGTTGAAAATCAGAAGGTCTTCTCGAATCTTTTTTATATTTTCATTTATATGGCATTTTTGTTTAATGTTACGGTTAGAATAAAGTGATTCAAGCATACAATGAGATAAGCAGTGAAAATATGAAATGGATTTTCTAATTTTCCCCACCGATGCGTGTTGATATGTTGTTGGTTTGATTTTAATGTGAAAAACACATTTTATGGCATGGATGAGCTCAGTCAATGGCCATTTCACGATCATGTTTTCCGTTTATTGGTCCAATTCACCGACCAGCGCTCAAATTGTCAATCGCACGCGCCTCGATATTGCATTATTCGTGAGAAAGTAGTCGTTTTTTTTTTATGTGGCCGTGTGCGCGCGTGCTATTAAATCTACCATTAGACGAAGCTTTAGTGTTGAGCTAGTGCCATAGTCTATTAATCAAAATTATAAGTTTGTTTTTGGAAAATTGTGCACGACACACAATTAAAACTAAATTGATTACGAGTACAAATAATAATGATTTGTTAATGACAGTGCCCCAAATGTGACATGTCGTCCGATGAATTAATTTATTCACAAAACAAACAGAAATAAAACCAAAGGCAACACGGAAAACTACCCTAATTCCGATATATTCCTTCGAGCCATAATTGTGCCATTTTCTCTACATCGCCATCGTTTTCGTTGTCGTCATGACTGTTTGTATGACTCGTGAAAGTCGCAATTTTTTTTTTCTCCTCCTGTTGTTATTGTCTTGCCAATCTCAACGGAATAATATTTGGATTGACATTAAACCGATATAATAATAAAAAAAACAGACGATGTAAACAATGAGTAATGGGCTGAAATTCCGAATGAAAACGAAACGACCAAAATAACGACCATGCGCTCGCTTGGGTTGGCAGAGGCTTTTCGCCTTTCATTCCATTTACGATCAATTTTAATATATTTTGACACTCATCAAAATAGAATTGGACATTCGGACAATCAATTGTAGCTGTTGCTCAGTTTTGGATTTTGGTTGGGAAAATGTTTAAACGGCCGTTTTGTTGGCATTTTGTTGCAGAAAAAAAAAAATAAAACAAAAAACGGAAAATAACACTTTACTTACTTTCTGAAGTCATTTTGATTGATTGTTTGCTTGATACTCGTTGTCACCTCTTCAAATTCGCTTTAATTACGTACGGGCGATTTGTGTTTTTTTGTCTCTGTGAATACGAGATTTGAAAGATAAAAGATTCACTCGATGTTGTTTTTCGATGGCCTTTGAAATGGCGTACGCTTGAATTCACTCTAGATTAAATGACTATAAATTACACGACATTATCTTTATTCCAATTCTTTTCTTCTTCTTCAGATGCAAACCCGATTTTGGGGAAAATAAATCTATTATATTTACAAGATGTGTTATTTGTCTATACAAATTGCTCGCTCTTTTTTTTTGCTAACAATAGCTCTCTTTAAGGAAAGAAAGAGGTTCTTATTGTTCATTTCACTGCCAGATGTTTTCCTGCCTGCTACTGTTCTGCTTTTTTTGCACAACTTCGTCGCTAAATTTGCCTTTTTTTTTTCAATTCGTCAACACTCTATTGGTGTGTCAAATTTGACGATAGCCAAAACGGCTTCGCTTTGATTTTATGACTTAACTTTCGACCGAAATAGAATTCGTCGAAAGAATAAGAAAACGGATGACGATTCGAAACGGTTGCGAAACTTTTGATTTCAAACGGTTTTTAATATAATTTCAAAATGCTAACATTTTGCTATCGATTATACAAATGTTCTGAACGCATGAATACGAGAAGGTATTTTGTGTGTTTCCCCGCCACAATGTGGCTAATTTCAACGATACATTCAAAAGTAAACTAGAATTGTATGCCTGGCTCTTTTTTTACGCAAAAGCTGCAATTCTTCCACCACACACTAATTTTTTTGGAAAGTTTCAATTAAAAACCATGAAATTTAAGCACTTGTTTCACTTTGCTTTAAAAAAAAACTTGGAATTTATTTCTTTTGAAAAGAATTTGGAAGAAAAAGTAAAAAATTCTTGAAAAAATATTGTTTTCTAAACTAAATTTTTGTGTAAATTGATGTGATTTTTTGCAATTTAACAAAATTTAACCGAAAAATGCCAACAATTTCGAAATATTCTGCAATTTTTCTACTATTTTTTTTTTTTCAAACAAAGAACAAAACTGAAATTTCTGATTTTTCCTCAGGAAAAAAAACGAACGAGTAATTTATAGAAAAAGGAAGCTAACAAATCGAATTAGGAGAAGAAGAAAAAAAAAGAATTACAATTTATTCGAGTCGTTTGAAAACCGAAATCCAAATGAAAAAACAAATAATAATAACAAATAACAACTAACGCCAGCTGAATGAAGCGATGTAGACGGTTGAAAGACTGTTTTTGAAATGGAAATTTGGCCGATACGCTCGCTCCAAATATATATACATATTTGTATGCACGGCTAGCGAAAAAAAAAAATTGTAGCCGCTTGTGTTTTCGCGCGCGTCACACAAACAAAAACAACAACACAACCAACGGGGCAACGGCAGCAGCACCACATGAATTATATGTACACCGAAAGGCGTAGGAAACGACCGAAGAATACGCGCTCATGCCGTGTGTTTACTATCTTTTTTTCTATCGGTGTTTGTTGTGTGTGCGAACACAAGCTTCAGCATCGGCTTGGTGTTGTTTCAAATTCATTTTGTTGTCTCAACTGTGCCTTCGTCTTCTAAAGTAAGTATGTATGTATGCTTTTCGCTTGCGAATTTTTCGTTGCTTTTTTTCTCTGCATGAATGTTAGAAAAGCATTCTATTATCAGACTTTTTTTCCCGAAAATCATCATCGAAAAATTTCCTTCAGTTCAGCTGATGAATCCTAAATTGACATTCACAAAGCTCAACAGACAGGCAATAGCTTTCATGAAACTCTTCCAACTGAATGTGAATGAATATTTAAATAATAACGATTCCTTCGAAATGTTAAATATTTGAATGAAAAAAATACTAATTACTATTTCAATCGATAACTGTTTTATATTCAGAAATGTGAGACATGCTCCCAGCTGTTGATTTTACTGGATTAATCCCTATATTGGATTATGGGAAATTCCATTCATTTTAATCAAACTGCAGAAACTGACGATAAATGACGGGTGGTTTTCCATCGATGAGCTGCGATTTTCCCCTCTATACGACCGTAAAACCCATAAAAATGTCATTTCTCACAATTGACTAGTAAATTTACGTGTCCTCGTCGTTATTTTATCGAAAAAAGCACAACGTCGTCCCCATAATTGTGGCTGCAAAGTTCCGTAGTGACTGTGATTCACAATAGTATTGTGACAATACAAACCAGCAAAAGTACAAATGAATAACAACATTGTGAGTAGCGAATGAGCGAACACATTCTATGACATGCGTAATTTTCTATTTTAATGTGTTCATTCACTTGGAATTCCTAACTGCTTCATCTAACGATAACCCTTCGTCGTTTTCTTCTTCTTCTTCTTTTTTTGGAAATGGAAATTCGGGCCAATTTATTCAATTGCAAAATCATTCACTAGCGAAAGGAATGTTGATAGTGAATAGAATGAAATCGCTTGTCTGATTATTTGAAAATTTTGTGAAAAAATTCGTCACTCGATAAGTAGCCAATCAATTGGCATCAAACTTTGACAAATTGCCCATTTTTCATCGTCTTTAATTCATTACTGTTCGCTAAATATGAAAAATGTTCTCATGCGAATTGGTTGAAAAGGTCACCGAAGCTATAAAACAAACTCGTTACACGTCATTTCGTTGAATGTAACATGTCAGATTGGATGTCACATCCGAGTGATCGGATGTAGACAACAATTTGTATGACATGAATGAATGGATGACTGACTGACTGGTCGTTGAATAGCGAAACTAAGAATGGAGCTATTTTTGAAAAAAGTGTTTTCCTTTTGTTGAATAGAATAATTCAATCGCATCGAATGGCATTTGTTCATGAGTCTTAATTTATTTGACAGCAAAATTGGAAAAAAGGTAATTTTTTTTTTAAAAATAGGTTCAGACCTGAGCAAATACGGAATAAGCTCAGTTATTCATTAGAAATTATTTTTATCACAAAATGCGTCATCACGATCGAACATTTGCCTCTTTTCCGAAGCTTTGGGCTGACGTAGTGCTGTGTGTGTGTGTGTGTGTGTGTCAAATGTGGAATAAAAGAATTCGTTGATGATAATATTAATGCAAATAGATTTGGGTTTATTCTTAAATACTCATATAGCACCATCATCCATAAGTGTATATGCATTTTCTATTTCCCCCTCGTTTTTCAACTCTTTCACGAGACTGGCGCTAAGATATTGCCCTGTTTCCACGTTCTTTCTCTCTCTCTCACTCTCTCTCTTCGTGTGTGTCTGTGGCTTTATTCATTCGAATGTGATAAAATACCCAGTGTTTACGTAACAAATTCTTATCTATTGCGGGCCAATTACAATGGGTATTTGCACGTGTGTTCGAGGGCAATGAATATGCCGTTGAAGCTCCAAAGTCAATATTGTTAAATGAATATGGCAAGGTGGCAATGACAATGCAAACACACGAGATTATCAAAGAGAATCAACCGAATTGAATGATCAAATAATAGGGCTGTGCAGAAAGCATTCTTCTTTTCTGTCGAAATTCTGAATGAAAAAAGAACAACCGTATTTTAAAAAAAATCTCGGGAAAGACAGAAGATGTACGAACAGAACATCAATCAATCGAGTGAATCGCTGGAGTGAGTTTCTTCATTTGCGAAACACACGTTTAAAAAAAGAATTTTGTTCATGCAAAACGAGATTTTATTTGAAGAAAGAGAGCGAGAGACATAGAGCTAAGATGGCAGAAAGAGACACAGAGAGAAATAACTGGTTCTTGAGACGAAGATTTCATTGTCAACGATCATCATTAATATGCAGATGCAATTCCAAAACCGAATGGCTGTAAAAACGAAACACATACGCAATTTAAATACGAAGATGTTCGTGCTGTGTGTGCTGCTCATTGTTGCATCGCCTAAGCGCACACACACATAATCGTATATATTTGATTTTATATCAGCCCGCGTGTCGTCATCGATAAAATAATGTCAACTGGCGGGAAATGCAATGGAAATCATGCGATGGACAGATCAAAAGCCGTCTTTTTATCATGTTAAATTTCCAGTTCATATCAATTGAAATTCATTGATATAATAAAAAAACCAAGAATCGTAACGTGTAGATTTTTACATGCTCATGACAGAGATAGCGTTTAAACAAGTTTCAATTGAATCCAATTGAATGGTATTGCGAGAGATAGACGGCACACGTGTATACTTATTCTGGCCCGTTGACATTCCATTTTGGGAATTGACTTTGTGCGATAGAGCGATATAGCTCAGATAAACACACTCTCAAAACGTTTAACCATCTATTGAAATTTACTTATCAAATCTAAAAAAAAAGACAATAGTATCCCTCTCACTCAGTCGTGTTGATATGATGCCTTAGCTCAGTTGATTATCACGATTGGAAATTTTACAGTGAAATAAGAAGCAACATATAATTCTAATTTGTGTTTAGTTTGTCATTCCACATTTATATTTTGAATTTGTTGTCTCCGACCGAACCGAGAAAAAAAACAACAAATTCGGAAAAAATGGCCAATTATTTGAAACATCTGTTCAACAAATATCCATTTGTATCGAATAGTTTGATCTATGGTTCGCTTTATGTTACAGCTGAATGTTCACAGCAATTTGTCACGAAAAAGATTCTGGTGCGACAACACACACACACAATATTTGCATTCGCAATCAGATGTTTGTTTGATCGATTTATTATTCATTTCAAATTGAATTAGACGGAACCACCGGAAAATTTGGATAAAACTTCACTCGTTCGATATGGTATCATGGGAACATGCTTATATTCACCAATTCTGTATACATGGTCAGTATTTATTTCTTTCGCTCAATATTTGCATTACAATTTCATTACAGCCGTTCTATTTGCACGAATAATCGCGAAACAAAATTGATTCGCTACTTTTTTTTATGCATATAGGTATAAGTGGCTGGATAGAACGTTAGCAGGGACGACGAAAAAAATTGTCATCAAAAAATTACTCTTGGATCAATTCTTTATGACACCACAATTGTTGGTCGTTTTTTACACGGGTAAATGATCACACAATAAATACCTCTGTCTCGAAATGGGACGAAACACTTTTATTAATTGTCCAACTTAATGAATGAAAAAAAAATGTCACGACATGCAATCTGAAATGTAAATGTTGGTTCGTTTATGCTCTATGGTGTAGGGATGGCGGTGATGGAGGGAGCTGATGATTTTACAGCTGAGCTAAAAGAGAAATTCGTTCCAACGTTTGCACGATCTTGCCTATTCTGGTTGCCGGCTCAAACGATCAACTTTTACTGGGTGCCACCACGTTTCCGTGTCGTATACGTTGGTACCTGTTCACTTATGTGGGCCAACATTTTGTGTTGGGTAAAACGGAAAAATAACAACAATGCGCCCAAAAATGCCATCGAAAATAAAATTGAATGAAGAAATTCGCTCGAAGTTCCACTATAAAATATCGATCAAATTGATGATGCTAATAAAAGAAAACGTTGATTATTTCCAATGAAAAAAAGGTCTTCTTTTAATTTGTGCTCTTCTTCATTTGTCAAAATTCTTCTTGGTTTTTCTTAATTAAAAATCGCAAAATCAATTTCAGGTTTCATAAAATACAAGATACAAATCAATCGATTTAAGCAGTGAAATCAAATGGTTTGAATTCATTGCGAAAACTTTTAACATATTCAATTTCCGTTTCTTTGGACACTAGGCAATCACGCCAGTTGATTTTATCGTCACCATTCTCTTCGGTGAGTAGAATCGCTTCGCGACCAAAATTGATGGGAAACTGTTTCATTTGCCGGCACAGCAGTGTTTCATCGTTTGGTAATTCGGCCACAAAGTACGCACCACGATCAGGTAACTGCGTTGGTTCGCCAAGTTTTGGTATCGTTTCCAAGGTTAAATTGTATTCTTCGGCTTTGTCCTCAAATGAGTTCTTTATCTTCCATGCGATCGACTTGTCAATGGGACACACGTTTATATGCAAATGACCACTCTTGTAATTGCGTTCAAAGAACATCACCACTTGATTTTTACCTGTGCGTGAAACAAACATCATGTGAATATTAATTGGATGGATGATGATTCAGATTGTTAATTTATTGTTTTTTTTGCGCTCAATTAGAATACATACTGGCAAAGAATTGTCGAAGTGCTGATTTAAATTTTTCCAATTCGGCAAAGTCATCTTCGGACAACAGAGCGACACTTTGAATGTGGGTGACCGATAATATGAGTACATGATATTGATTGATTGGACCTTTGGACAGGGCTAGATAAAAACTGTCACCAATCGTTATGACCAGATGCTTTTCCACCGATGGAGACGACAAACAAAACCAACATTTTTCTGAAACAATCGGAAAAAGTGAATATTTTTTAGCGAATATGTTTTTGGAATGGGGGAAATTCCCTTTTTAAAAAATCTAGAAATAATTAATCCACCAATTATTACTCCTTTGTAGTCAATAAAGAGCCGCGATGTGATAAACAATAACAGCCGACTGCAAACGTTCAACCATTTTCCCAATAAAGAGGAAAAAACTACTCGTAATTACCAAGCGTTTGGGGAATCAAATATTTTTCATGACAAATCAAACGCTTGATAAGTAATGGATTGAGTAAAAAATATCGAAAAGCCGAAAAACGCTGTACCTTGATCGATATTTGGTTGCCGTGGCCGCTTCTGTTGATGACCACCGTCCTGATTAAATTTGCCTCGTTTTCGATGTTGATGCTCGCCCGTCGAATCGAAATCATAGAAGTACTGATTACTTTGTTCAGTACTCGCCAACTTAACGCCACCAATGGAAAACTTCATGGAATCATATGGGCATGGAATTTCATTTGTTGTCTTCTGAATCAAATCGGTCACCCGCATTTTATCAACGGCAGTGACATTCAGTGCGTAGATGAATTTCTCTTTCGATGCATTACCAACGCTTGCCAAGGCAATAAGCCGTGTGGCCAACTCAAATTGACTGTTTGGTCTTGCCACATTTCTGAAAAGGAAATATTTTATTGCGTGATTTTTTTCCCATCTTTGGCATTTGTTTTTCTTTTCTAATTTCATATGAATCTTCAAGTCCTCTTTGAAAACAACCAAAACATCGTCTTCCTTACCTATATGGTGATGGTTCGAAGTATAAATCGTTCAAACCGCAAAAATGATACCGAGGTTTAATTTCAGCTGACAGCCAGGCCAACAGGTCTGATGTATTTTTAGCATCTTCCTGTGTGCCACTTGGCCATTGTGAAGTGATCAAAATGTCAACACCTCGATAGTCTCCAGCTGTGTGATTGCTGGCCAAACACGCGTTGACCACTGCTTTTAGATCTTCCACTTTGAAATTAGATATTGAATCCGATTCCGAATCGGTTGACTCAGTTCCGCTGACATAAGCAATTTTCAAGCCCGATGACACGGTGTACAGACCACGTCGCCCGAGATACGTCAAATTTGGACAGATTTCACCATCGTCTAAATTCTCAAAATACTTTGAATGCGCCGAGTTGCTGGGTCCAAGAATGTACGTCGGTACATTTACTGCAAACGGAAGATCAAACGAATTTTTGGTGTCAAACAATTCAAATGATTCAATTTAAAATCCAATTAATTTTTGGTTCATTGAACTAACTTACTTTTGAGATTTCCATTTTTGTATGCTTCCAATTTGCCGTTGTCTGCTCCGAAAAAATCACCAACACAAAGCAGCAAATCGAACGGGCCCGATTTTTGATTGATATTCTGTATTTTATTGAAAAGCACTTTGAAGTTGCCTCGCACATCACCGCACACCAAACTGTTTCAAGAAGAAAGACAAATATGAAGATTTACCAAGAAAAAGCAAATCAATCAAACGTCGAACACCTTTGAAGAAAATCGACAAATTTTCTGATTTCAACTTACATTTTATGCTTTCCATCCATTTTCCTGGTCAAAATAAACACGCAAATTGTGTATGGTGTGTGTTGTTTGTATCCATTCGTTTAAGCAACGTTTGACGTTCGTCATTTTGACACTTCGGGCAGAGACACACTTTTGACCATCCAACGCCATCTATTGACAAAATATCAAAGCTTTCTTTACTCGTTCGATACACCAATAAATCAAAACCAATTTCAAACGTTGCAAAGTTTATTCAATAGATTTTATTATATATGGCATTTATTGTTACATTTTTAAAATTGAATTTCAAGCTTAATTTTACTTCAAATAAACTAAAATATTCCTCTATGGATTTGATGACCGTCTGAAATGGAAAAGAAAAATGAAAATTTCTTAAATTCTTGTAAAACGAATGGAAGAACTTACTTTTTCCACGGTATTCAGCAGCAATCTCCCGTGAAATTCATTTTGAGAAGAGCATTTCGTTTTACGTGCATATTTATGAATGGGTGTATATTGCCTGGAATTTTTTCGACTTCCAAATCAACGAACGGATTATGAAATGTATTTGAATACTCTACCGCTTGTACAGCATTTGATGGGGTGGTGCTAATTGGAATGCTAGTAGAATTTTGTATTTCAGTTGTGGTGACGATGGAAGTCGATTCCGTTGATGTTGTTTCGGTCGAAGCTACTATCGTAGAAGTCAATTGCGTTGAGGTCGATTCCGTCGACTTAACTTCTTTTTTGGTTTCATTTTCCGTTGTACTTGGCCACCAAGTTGTTGTCAATAAATCCAATAAGCTCGGGGTGGTTGGTGGATTTTCATCATTTTCAGAAGATGAAGCCGTTTCGCTTGCAGCAGGTGAAGCAACATTATTTGAAGTCGAATTACTTTGCACCACTTCAGAAATATTTTCCAAGGTGATACTTTCGTTTGTTGTTGTATCTTCTTTCTCTGAGCTCTCTTCAATTGTAGCATCGCTGCTTTGATTTGTCGTTTCAATATTTGTATTTGGCTGCGTTGTTGTGGAAGCTTCTGGCGTATTTTGTGATGCCGTTATCAAATCGTCAATTGTTGTTGAAGTAAAAGTCGTTGTTTCTGGATCAGACACTGTCGTTGCATTTGAATTAGGCGCTGCGTTTGTTGTCTCCGACACCATTGAATCTATATTTTCTGTTGCAATTGAAGTGAATGGAATTTCAGTACTACTTCCCAATACTGTATCAACCACCAAATCATTTTTTGAAGTACTACTTGGCTCGATTTCGTCGCTTCGAGGAAACGGTGATGAATTTGGAACATTTTGTGATGTACTTTGAAATGTCTCTGGCTTCAAATGTTCCGGTGTATTGGATGCTGGTTCATCAGTTGTAAATTCTTGATCATAAACTGTTGTTGAATTCAAAATAATTGGATCGTTTGTTGTGGCATCATTTCTTAGTTCTGGATTTTCGGTCAAATCTGAAGAAAGCAATAATTCACTTTGGGGCTGTTCAACATCAGAATTTTGCGTTTGATTTGACAATGTGCTCGAGTCCGTTGACGAATTTGTCAATTTGCTCTCCAGTTGTTGATCGATTGTCTCGAGAGTGATTGAATCATTCAGAATACTCTTTGAACCGGAAGGTAAAGTTTCACTTGTCAATGAGCTTATTTCCGTTGAAGATGGATCAAGCTCACTTGGGTTAGTGAAAGCATCATCTTCATTACGAGTTGTTGTCCTTTCATCGGATTGCTTCTCATCTTCACTGGAATTTGATGGAACATAAACTATCGTTTCTGCTTCAGTAATTGGTGTTGTGGTCGAAGCAAGTGATTCGCTCGTTGTTGAATCGTTCTCCTTCTTCTGATCTAATGGATTGAATTCGTTTTCGTTGACTTTTGGAGTTACAAGTGAATCACCCAGAGTGCTATCAGAAGGAAAATGTGAAGTGTGATCAGGCAATGTGCTTGATTCTGTTAAAACAGTACCATTTCCATTAGCTGACGTGTTTTCAGGACGAAGAGATGCATTTTCGAGCGTAACATTTTCATTCGAATTATTTGAGTCCTGTTGAATTTGCGCGGTTGTTGTGCTTTCGATCACATTTTCATCCGTTGTTGTATTTATCGCTAGCGATGCATTAGAAGAGGAAGTTGTTGATATATATTTATCTGAGCTTACCAATGATGCACTTTCAAGTGTTGTTAAAGCATCAGCTTGTGTCGGGGATTCCGGAAGGGAGGTGCTTGTTTCAGTAACAATATTCGACGTGGTCTTATCAAAACTGGTGAACTCAGTTGAATTCTGTTCTTCATTCACTTGTGTGGTGGTACTATCGAGTGGTTCTTCAGACAAATGATAATCATTTGCAATGATTGGTGCTGCTTCGGTTTGTGCTTGACCTAATAGTTCATCTTCACCACGTGGCGTGGGAGAAATGAATGCAGTAAAATTTATTTCATCTTGTCTGGTGGTATTTTCCAGCAGCGTCGTATTTTCGATGGTGCTATTTTCTTCATGTCCAAGTGAAGACGGTGATAAAGGTGCTTCTGATGTGTTTGATGTTTTTTCAGTTGAAATTTGGGCGCTTTCAGTTGGTTTTAATGTTCGTGAATCCATATTTTCCATGGTGTCCTTCTTAGAATCTGCAGCATAGGTCGGTGAAGTGTCTACCTCCGTCGCAGAATTGATGTTCGATGTCAGTTCCGTTGAAGCATCAAGCGCGTTGGCTGTGGTTTCTTGTTCAGTTGCTCTATCTATTGATGTGAAATTTACAACCGTTTCAGTAGAATCAACTAGCACTTCTGTTGTACTGTTGTCAGTCGATGGTTTAGTCTCATTCAGATTTGAGCCTATCAATGAATCCTTCTGTAAATTGCTTCCCTCGGCGAGATCACTTTGAGAAGGCATCGTTGAGAAAGTAACAGCATCAGTTGAGTTATAATTTGCAATAGTTGTTGCATCGGTTGCGTTATCATTGCGAATAGTACTCAAAATTTGGCCATCACTGTTGGTCTGTGGAGTTTTCGTTGTAGCTTCTGAAGAGTCGTTGCTCGGAACAGTTGAATTGTAAGCATTTTGACCATCGGTTGGAGAACTTGATGCATATTCTGTCGTAGTCGTTTTGATCGTTGTAGAAGATTCGGGAGTTGAGGCAAATTCAGGCGTTAAAGTCGTATTGTTTGAATGTTCGGGGTTGTTTTCAAAAACATCGGCTGGAGTGGTATCGCTGCTTGGAAGATTGGGAACTGGCGTCGCTGTGATTATTATTAAATCATTCGAAGCGCTTGCTTCATGAAGAGTTGTATTCAATCCAAGTTGAACTTCGGTGGTACTTCCTTGAGTCGAACTAGCTTCCGTTGTACTCAAAATATTCGAATCATTTGAAATATTTTCGGTGAAGCCGATGTTTGAATCGCCAAGCGAGGAATATGTGTCGTTTAACACACTACTTTGAACTGTCGATGAGCTTTGTTCCGTTTCAGTGCTCATTTTTAACGCGACCGTTGTGCTGGTTTCCAAATTTATCGTTGCACCTGTGTCCAGTTTCGAACCAACTGTCGACGTACTCAGGTATACCTCTTGTCCAGAGGCTGTGGTTGTTTTCAACTTTTTACGTCGAGGCTTAAGACCAGTACTCGCATCAAGTAGCTCCATCGAAGTTTCTTCGTCACTTTCCTCAGCAGATTCAGTTGATGTAGAAACAATTGGCGCGTGAGTCGATGTGGTGGTCAGTGAATCATTTGAAATGACACTTATCACAGTAGAGAGTTCAATTGGTTTTGTGGTTGTGCTAGGGGTTTTTTCGGAAGTCGATGTAAAAGTATCAGTTTCTGTCGTCAACGTGGTCGTTGTAATTTCTGTCTCCGGGCAAGCTTGCATACAGCTTTCAATCGATGCATCGTCAGTGTAATTGTGTTTGCATTGCTGTTTTCGTTCCTTATAGAATTCATATAAGTTCAGAAGTTCAACAATTGACATCATTTCACACTTGACTTCAGCACTTGGTTTGCAAGTTTCGGTTTTCACATCGTAAATGGTGCCATCTGGACACTTATGCCGCGTTTGATAAAAGCGTCCATTCGTTTTTGCACTGCATATGTAATATCTTGAGCAATTGGTTGGCGTGCTACAAGGTGGTTTATAAATGAATAGAAAAAAGTCATTTATCAAAATGAAATTGCAATGGATGAATGAAATTATTTCCTCCTAATGAAAGCAAATTCTTACCGGAACTGTCCGGGTTTTGTGCATGGTGGAAAGAAGCCTTTTTCAGTGGGATCCATCTCGTATTCTTCGAAAATCTGAAAAAATGGTCGAAACAACACAGTTTCAACATTAATAGACTTCGTTGTTTTGCACGCCGGACACTTTACACAATTGACTGAACTCATGTCAATTCAAATGCATTTACGATGCAATGTGTCCAAAGTGATTTTACCTGAGTCGGTGGCATTTTGCATGAATATGAGCATCGCTTTAATGCCGGTGAATACAACGATGAGCCTGCACATCGATGTAATTTCGGCACGAATTGTTCACCATCCGCATCACATGTATAAAAGCATGAGCTATTTTGTTCGAGGGCGAAACGTCCTGTTTCGAAGGTGAATGAAACCATTAGACACATGAGTCGTTAAGTCGCACATTTTGTGGCAAATTTGGAAGTTTTCGTTTTTGTTTTCATTCGTCGCAAATTGTTTTAAAGTCAAATGTTAGCAAATGTTTTCAATGAACGTAAAAGCTTACCGGGTTTCGTACATTCTGGCATGTGTGCCAAGTCACAGGGCAGTCTCTTAATCGCTTCGCATTTCAGTGTTTTCGTGTTAAACCGCTACAGCAATGACCATTTTAGTGAGTGATAGAGGGTGGGAGAAAGACAAGGGATTTTTTTTTTAGAATAAATCCTGAAAATGCTTTGAAATAAAGAATAATGAAATTACCAAATTGTCTGGGCATTTGGCTAAAACGACCAAATCGGGTTCGCACACAACATATAAAGTATCGTGGTCCAGATACGGTTTCACTCCGACAAAATTATCTCGGCATTGTTTGTTCTAGTGAAATTGGCAGGGTATTTTCCATTAATAAATTTTCGGGCGATTGTGTAACAAGATAGAACCATAGAAAGAAGTAGAAGAAGAAATAGAAGAAGACGACGAAAAAGAAGAAAAGAAAATACAAACTTGATCGACAAACATCGCCCGTCCGCCACCTAGAAAAGTGGTACAATTCTTGGTCACTGGATTGAAGTATGCGGTATAATTACATCGATTCTGAAACCAGCAAAAAAAAACCATTTAGTGATGAAATGAAGCACGTCAAAAGCAATCGAATCAATGTGTTGACGCTAATTTATCACGTGTTTTCACGATTGAATTGAAATCGCAATGTGGGCATTTGAAAAGAGAGAAAGACGGCACAGATATTGAACTCAATTTTGTCTGCAAAATGCAATTTTTTCGCTTAATTTTCAGTTTGGTTAATTAGAAATATATCGAAAATGAACGACGGCACGACCTTGTTTATAATGAATTATGAAATTTTCGCATGAAAAATAGCAGCACACACAATTTGAAATAGGATCTCATTTCAACGTCACCGTTGAGCCGCGCAACGCACACAATCAATCAATCACATTTCATGCAGACAGTATTCTCTCGCACTCTTTCCACTTTTTTTTCGTTGCTTCGTTTGATATCGGCGCCATGTAAATGACAAAAATTGATGTCGAATCCATAACAAATTTGCTCAATTCACAATTTCAAATCAATTGAATACTGGAGGGAAGGCTTTTGTTTGCATTTCGTGGGCAAATTGGCAAATATTTTTGAAAAATTCAATTCAATAACCGAATGGAAAATATGCCAATGCAATCACGTGTTCGATCCAATCACTTGGTTGAATTAATTACGACTCTTACCGTTTCGGGAGCAAAATTCTGCATAAAAGCACTGCTTTTGGACACTACGCCAATCACACAAAGAATACAACCAATGAATTTAATGGGTAACCGCATTTTTATGGACACTTTTGTGGCTACCATGAAACCCACGACACAACAATTATGATTTGATTGAGAATATTCGACGCGAGCACAACGTTTTTATACACCACATTCATCAACTATATTTTGGCTTTGATTGAAGTGACTATTCTCATCTGCATCGATTTATATAATATGCAATGATGTTCATAACGGGTTTTTATTTTGAAAAACAAAAAAATGCATAAACAATAACATAGATTAGAAAATAAATGAAGCGACCAAGACATATTCTCATTTCCATTGGCATGGTATAAACATATCGTGTTCTCAGAATAAGAAGAAGACGGAGGAAAAGAAGAAAAAGACACGAAAAGGTGTGTTTCAGATGAAATTTAATATTTAGTTATTAGAATTAATTGGAAGCACATACTATCCACATTAGATAATCTAACGAAAACATTAGATACGGTTGAAATCGTGCACACATGTTGATTCCTCATCATTTCTATCCGAAGAGACGACGAAGAAGAGAATAGAATAAGAGAAACAAATTCAGGGCCAATGACAAGATAAGAAAACTGTTTAATGTTTAGGTTTTTTTTTCTTTGCTGCAAATTCTATTTTAATCGGTTATGAAAAAACAAACATTAGCTGATTATATAAAATTTATGCATATAATATATATTTAAAATTACACATACATTGTAAAATGGAAGGCGCATCTCTCTGACAACGTAATCATTATGAAATATAGAAATACTGCTCTTTTTCTTTCAATTTTTCTGTTGGAACTTAAAATTTAATGGGGGAGAAAAAAACTATAGTTGCCGTAGAAGGTAGATTATTTGCCGATCGTCGGTGTCGATGTCGGTCCATTCACCTCTCTGCATCATCTATGTATCTCGTTTGTCTCAATCAATCGAAGATCATATACGTTTTTATCAAACTAAAAAGTGGTGCACAAATGCAAAAATCCTTGTTTGTTGCTGCTATTTTTTGTAGTTGTCTTTCGCATCAAAATCAGATGGTCTCAATGTTAAAACAAAAATCTAAATATCTTATTTAAATATATCATCTACTTTCCTCAGTATTAAATAAAGAATTAAGATTAAGGCATCGATTGTCTCATAGGTGATCGATTGGAACGGATTTTTCGGTTTCTTTTATTATTTTTTTCATTTTGATTTTGTTGGGTGCGGGTGCATAAGTATAGTAAAAATGAATTGTAATTCGAAATTTCATGTCTATCAACCTATCGAAAATCATTTGCCATGAAGTTCATTTGATCAATTTGGGTGCTCTTGGATGCATTGTGAAACGCATCCAAATGAAGCAAACGAAATAATGTCAGTTGTTAGCTCTATTTTTTTTTTTTGTTGGCGAATCAGCCAATTCATTTAATTTAATGTCTCAATTATTATTGTGTTGAACAACGTGTCGAATCGATCTAGTCTCAATTCATTCCAGTGACGAAAAACGGAACTTTTATTTAGAAAAAAATATTCAAAAGAAGGAAAGTGAAATCAAAGAGGCTTTGCGAAAATTCCATGTTTGGACGCAAATTCGAGTCTTTATATAGAGAACCTGAAAAGTAAGTGAGGCATTTCAATGACCAAATTATGTGATGTAATGTGAGAATGTGTTTTTAGCGTAAGATATTCTGTTGTTGACATGTTGACAGGAGGTTGATTTGGTTTTTTGGGAAAATTACAGTTTATTCCCTTTCGCCACTGAAATCATTTGGGGTGTGTGTGTGTGAGTGTACGTATTGGCGCTCTTCAGCTTTTACACCAACGCATTTTCCATCCTCCACTTGGGAGCGATGACAAAGTCCGCAAAATGCCTTCAAAATAGTTTCAAGTTTTGCTGCACTGAAAACAGATATTGTATAATTTTGACATTAATTCGAGGTCATCGAAAACGAATTTCAACTACATTTGGATACGTGCACAGTATGATATGTTCTTTTTAAATGTTGTATTTCGTGTTTGCACAGAAGAAAAAAAAATGATTCAAGTGCAGTGACAGAAAAGAAAACAACCGAATTCAGAGGGGGGGGAAAAACAAATCATTTAGTTTGCTATCAGCGCAATTCAGTCTATGGACTTTAGTCGCTGGGCTCCGGCATAAAATAATATTCGACATCACAGAATCTAAAACATCATGAGCTCGTCATTTATAATAAAAAGAATAAAAGAAAAAAAATTATGTGAAAATTCCATTTTTCTTTCCTCTCTTTCAAGATAGAAACTTTTGTTTTTCGGTTTATGTCATTCTTTGAAAACGAAATGGGAAAAAAATCGCATATAAATAATGTGAGTGTGTGTGTTGTTTGTGTCATGGGTGTGAATGTGTGTGATTTTAATGCCGAAGAAAAAATTTCTATGTTTCTCTAAACTAAATTATTGTTGGAAGATTTGTGAGTGGGTGCGTGCGTGTGTACTTGTGTGTTGTCTTCCTTGAATTTCTCTTTTCATTTAGCTACATTAAACTATATTCTAAAAACTAAACGGAAATTTTTCATCAATAATACTATTGCTTGAGATTTTTGTTTTGTTTTGTTAAGAATGCCAACTAAAATTAATTTTTGTTGTTGATGATGTTATTTGCTTTGTTTCTTCCGAATGTTGTTGCGTTTCGTGCGGCTATTTTTAGGGCTGATCAATCGAAATGCTGTTCATTGATCTGAAAACACAATGATCGTGCGTTAAACTCTGTAAAAAGTTAGTTAGAATTTCAATTAAAACGGGTTGAATTTGTTTCACACATCGCAACGAGATAGACGTTGTGCAAATGGAAATTCAGTTTTGCATCGGCTATGTATTGTTTGTGTGATTGTTTCGAAAGAAGTAGAAGAAATAAAAATCGCTGCTTTGGGTAGATGTGGCTTACCTGGAACGTTCAAACATCGATGGATCCGTATAGATTGGCTCACTCGGATCATCAAATTCCGTAACTGTATTTTCACTTTTCATTATGCGCGCTAAATTCCTAGATTTGAACATAAGAAACAAATTGGAGTCAAGTTTAAAGTCAAGTTCAGAAATTCGTCTTTTTAAAGAAAAAAGCGCAATTTTCTTAAAGAAAGAACAAAAAAAAACGCGAAAATCTAGGTCGAATTCGATAACAGCTGTGTTCCGGTACTCACCCAGTAGCGAAAGTTTTTTGAAGTGTTCCATTTATGAGTGATAAGCTTGGTCGAATGCCGCTCAAATGACCGCCGCTTGAACCAATTCCAAGTGAAGCTCCGTGCCGAGTTGATGCGTTAAACTGATGACTGGAAACGTTCATGTTCTGATGCAGCGCAGACGGTACAAATGAGTGGACCGGTGATGCGGTGTCAAATGATCGATTCTTTAGCATTGTTTTCCAATAGCGACGATATGCTAATCCAGCCGCCAATGTTATGCTGAACAACAGTAGCATTAGCAAAACGATAGCCACAACCAAACCATGGTATTCGGATGGTGAGATGCAAAGTGTTTCCGTTGGAGCGACCAATTTTCTTGGGACCGATTCATTTTCGATTTCTTCACGTGATTCAAATACTTCGATCATTTCGCGAACTTGTTCGGGGAAATCGATCGTTTCTTCGTCATCATCATCGTCGTCGCCGGTTGCATTTTTACGTTTTGCACCTTCGATCAGTGTTCCATTGATTCGTTTCGATTCGGACACATCATTATCATCGACAGTATCGTTGAGTGAACGCCTTCGACGTCCAAATGATGGCTCATTTCGACCCGATGCACTCTGGCAGTACGCTGGTTGACATCCTTCGCGACACGTTCGTACCGTTGCCTCAAACACTAGGAAATTCGATTCGGGTATTTTGAATGCATTGAAACGAGCTTCCAGCTGATCACCGCTACGCAATTTATCCAATTCCGGGAACACATACGGATCGACTGGGCAACTGGTTTGTGGAGAGAAAATTTGAATTTAGAAATGGAAATTGGAGATAAACAACAGCAATAAATCAATCGCAATTGCAATGCAATTTCGAGCACTCACCCATAACGATCAATTAATTGAATGCTTCGTCCAGAGTATGGATCTCTGGCCACGACGTTTGTTGCAAAAATGTCGGTCAATTGGTTATATCCGTCTTGTGATTCAATGCGAAGTGTGAGCGGATCGCCGACAGCAATTGTGGTGGTTGGTCGATTCTGATAGAGGATCATGAGCCGCACTTTTGAGCTTAGCGTATTTTCGGCTGGCAAATATTCGATGGGAATGGGGCTGCCCGATCTGTCAATATTGTTAAAACTTTTTGAAAAGGATGCGCATTCATTCATTATCCTTTAAAAATCTGCGAGAAACCTGTCTATCGGCAGTTTCGGCATCAATCATTTCGAGTTTGTGAACGCACGCACGAGCCGTTTTGTGGATGGATGTGTCTGACAAAAGCATCACAATGTGTATATGCGCACGCGGTTCAATGGTAAAAGGTCGAAATGATATTTTCAAAGGATAATTTTTGGTCATATTTATGCCAACAATGTTAGTAGCGTCTACAGAATTAGTTGAAATTGAAAGTGCCATTTAAATATTAGTTTTGTTATGAGTTTGGTTCGCTATGTTCCTACAGTCTAACAAGCGAGATATATTCGATTTGTTCCGTCTTTATGCGGGATTTTTTTTGCTTCTCTTAAATATAAAGATAAAGATGAAGTCATGCTCATAAAAGATCACGTTTTTGTTGCGTTTTTTTTTTCTTCTCTTGTTCTCTGTTTCTTGTTGTTGGTAAATGGTATTAATGACCCTTTTAGCTGAGGTAATGATTTGCTAACATATCACCGATTTGTTTTTATTTAATTTTTATTTTTGACTGAATGGAGGTGGTGTTGGTGGTGGTGGTGATGGTGGCAACAAATGAGTATTAAGATGTTGTCACTTGAATTCGAATGCAAATAAATACAAAAACCCAAACAGAACCGTCAACAATGCTTTGAATTTTGGTTACGGGCGAGAATGAGAAGAGTATTTTATTTTCTTTATTTTTTTTCTGCGTAAGTTGAAGGTTAAATGCGCCAATCGATGAACAATCACGTTAATGACAACAATAAAATGAAAATGGAAAATCATTTACCTTTGCACAGTAAAGTGCGCGATTGTTCAACGTAAGTGTGTGTGTGTGTGTGTGTGTGTGGAATTTGGATGCGAATTTCGAATCGGGGTCAGAAATAGCATTGACAAAGAGACAATTGCCGAATGTGCATTGTATGTTTCTTTCTTGCTTTCGGTTTGGTTTATTTGTTCGTTTTTTCTTTAATTTTCGAAAAAATGTGCGTGAAGTTTATCAGACAGAAAAATTTATGCGCGATAAAAGTAAACGCGTAAAGGGTTTTTTTTATGTTGAGATTCGATTTTGTTTTCATTTTCATTCGATTTGATGTGGACATAAGTTTTTTTCAAGTCGAAACGAGAGTAATAAATGTATGAACGATTGTATCTTTTCTTGGATTTGATGAAAATGCAAACGACCAAACAAAAATAAAATGGATACGTAGTATTGGCGTTGTTGAATTGCATTCGTTAAGGCTAGCAGACTGATTGCATTGGATTAACCGTAGCAAATTCATATAAAATATGCATTCGCCTCATGGGTCTTCGTTTGCTAAAAAAAAATGAAAAAAAGAAACGCAAAATAAGAGGAAAATCGAAACAGAAAGAACAAACATTCAGACACACACACAGAGAGAGAGAGAGAAAAATAGAGAGATAGAGAGAGAGAGAGAGAGAAAGACATTTTTTCCAGCGTGATAATTGACCATTTCTCTTTCGTCTTGCAAATAGCTTTCACATGAAACGCGGAATTATCTCAATGTCGACTATAAATTATTATCAGTAGCAAACGTTCGTTCGTGCCTTAAATTTAAAATTAAAAAAAAATACAGAAGAAAGAATTAATGTAGAAAAATGCCACGACTCCATTAACTTGATAGTCAAGTGAGCGCATTTTCAACGACGATTTGATCTAAAATTGAATCCAATTGTCGACTGCATTAAAAAAAAACCCGAACGAAGAGGGAGAGAGAAAGAGAGAAAACCAGAACAAAAATAAAATATTTGACTGTGAATTCAAATCGAACGGAAACGGCTGAATGATAACCACGAATTTTCTTTTGTATTCAAATTGTTGATTGCAAAAACGTGGTTGAAATGGGCAAGTTGCACAATTTTTGTATGTGTGTGTGTCTGTGTGCTGCTTGTTTTTATCAGCCTTCTCTTCGCCCAGACAATAAACAAAAGATTGTTATCTATATTCTACGGTTTGTATAAACTACATACACTAAATTTACGGAGAAATGCGGAAAGTAGAAGCGTGTTCAAAGATATTAAAGCACACATCAGAGCATCAACAACAACAACAGCAACAACAAAATAAATAAACATTGATATCTACGAATTACGCGAAAGGCAAAAGAACACCGAGATAAGAGGAGAAATAATGCTATAAACTAGGTCAGTTACAATTCCATGAATGACAAAATTAAACTGTCGACGGCAGCAGCGTCGCCGTCGTTATTTGCCCGCCGCCGTCGCCGATGACAACGAACAAAACACAACAGTCTACTGCCGCCTTAACTACACACAATACGCTACATATATACTTGCATACTGAATACAAAAATATTAACTATGACAAAAGCATAAGAAAATAAAAGCAAGACTCTAATAAGATCACTCTATACTCTATTCAACTTTCAACTTCAATAATGATCATTATCAATTCCAACGCGAATTATTTGCTCGTAAGTACATATTTCACACTCTCTGCTCAACACAAACTAGTTCATTCAATGGCGACCATCAATTTGCTTTATTTATTTTTTTGTTCGCGCTCGCGCTCGTTCGCTTGAAGCGGAACGCTGCGCGTACCGAGATCAATTGTCGGTTAAATGCAACAGTAGAGTAGAACAAAAACGTTTCTTTTGACCATGCACATGAAATTCTTACCCAGCCCCAATGTATCCAGATGTAACGACTGCCTCGCCCGGACCACGGAATATGCAAGTCAAATTAAAACGCTTATCACGACCAGTTTGCACGTTATCAGAGAATTGCACAACCACAATGTTCGTCATCGTGTCACCGTACTAGAAAACAGCAGAAGAAAAATATACATGTGCGTCATAAACATTGAAAGCATCTTTTCTTTACACACTCTCTTTGTGCATATACATACGCTACACGTATTAAATATACAACAAACGAGAGAGAGAGAGAGAGCAAGAGCGAGAGACAGTGATGTGATGTGATCTACTTTAAATTGCCTTACCCTTTGTGTGCCACATTCGGGATAACCTTGAGTGCCGCTGATACGAAGAACATTTACAGTGCCGCCACTTCCACGGAAGAAACACCTAGAAATACATAATTGGTTGCATAATCATGAATTGAGCTCGACATGGTTTTTTTTTCTCTTTCTCTCTCTCCCTCTATAGTCTTGGTCTATTGTCTTACCGATCATAGAAACCGTATGTATAAATGCGACCATAAAATCCTTCCGGTGTTCTCAGCGTAAATTCCATACCGTCTTCATTGCACGTTTGTGAAACTGAAAATGAGAAAAAAACAAGAAGCAAAACGGCAACCAATCAACAATTGTAAACAATTGCAACATTGAATGTCATCATTCACATTGTGTAGAACACAACGGCGACGTTGACGACGGCGTCATTCATTTTTGCAATGCGCACTCACCATCTAAGCATTCAGTGTCTGAGCCACTTCGAGCATTGCTGCGTTCGTAATAGTCAAAGCTGCTCGTATCGAACATGGTTGGATTTTGTAAATCTAATTCCCTTGTATCTCGGTCACTTAGTTCACAATTGGTTACTTCGCGTTCACGTTCACGGCCAGCATTGTTGTTTGCCGCTGCAGCCGGATCACTTTCATACAATACGGTTGTTTCGCGATAGTTAAAGCTACGGCATATAAAATCTTTAGCCTCGATGCATTCGCGTTGGCAATGCAATAACGATGCTGCTGGTACAATGCGTCGGATGTATTGTCGTCGAATGCGTTGCCTTGATCCAATCTGTTTGAATGTGTCATTTTCTTCGCAGCGTGATGTAACTGGCCGTGGTGGTCCATAGCCGCCGAAACCATCACCGAATTGGCTATTTATCGAATTATCATAGCCCATACCAAAACCAGGACGATGTGGAATCTCATACGGTGGGAATGCGGCACCGGGACGAGCACGTTCATAGTAATACTATTCCAATTGGGTGATGCAAATTTAAAAAAAAAAAGGCAATGTAAATTCGACCACATGAAATGTCAATGGTACAGACAACAGAAAAATCAATTCAATCTTACAGGATCCCGTCCGCTGAACCGGTTGTAACCTCGATCATACATCGGCGGCGGTCCATATCGATCATAGCCTAAATTTAAATGAAGAAAATACATGCGTTCATACATTTCATTTTAATAATCGATTCGCAAAAAACAAGTCATATGAAACATTGTTGTGCTCTGCATATGCATGTTTGTGCCCATTTTTCCCCATTTAAAAAAAACCCATTGTGCCACGGATCATTCGGCGCCGAATTTTACACAAACACACATCATACGCGTGTGTACTGTCGAATGCAAATCACGAAATATATACAAAAACAATGAGTGTGCCGCACAGTCAATATGGGGCAAAAGTTTATGCACTACACAGACTTCATAATGGTATTGAGAAATCATTTCGTCTGCCATAAATGCTGTCGTCGCATTGCTCATAGTTTTATCGTTGTTTCATTTTGTTGTGTATATGTATGTTGTGCTGTTTTTTTTCCTACTCGCCTTTTCTCTATTTTCGGGTCTGTTATTGCCACATACAATATATAGTGTTTGTGTGTGTATGTGCCCTGAGCCGATAAAAGATCTCGTTTGAATCGAACAACAGATTGTGAGTGTGAACGAGAGAGTATGAGTATGCGATATTAATTCAGTTGTCTTGTATTTATGTCAATGACTTTCGAACGAAATTGTATCAACATAACTTGTAAGTCAAGAGCATTTACGATTCGGTTTACTGTGCAAACGAATGAAATGAGCAAAGTGAGCAACGAAAAAAATAGCGTAGCAGCAGCAGCAGCAGCAGCAGCAACAACAACAACAACAACCACCATCACCACTACCACATAGTAAACGGCATCGACGGCAGACACAAAAAGCAATACTAATCATGACAAGGTTGTAAACCATACTAAATACACGGAGTGCGGCAAATATATTGCATTAAAAGCGTTCGTGCTCGAAAACTTTATCGTCAAACGCAACCATAAAACCGTTGTGGAGCGTTCAATTGGCAAGTGCGTGAGCGCAAAATGCGCGCAACTCGCGCTCATTAACTCTTTCTCGCTCTGTGCTCCGAGTCGCCAAATGTGCGATGACTTAAACGTGCACATGCAATCGCAATCGATACTAATTGCATAAATTATCCATTGAGAAATTAATTTAAATTGAAGTTAAAATGTAAATAGAAGCACACTAGGCAAATACATGTATGCGAGTGAGCGCGCGCGCGCGCGCTCCAATGCGAATGAACGAAAAGATGGACGGGTGCGCGCGCGCGCGTTCGCATTTATGCGCTCAAGTTCGATGTGAGTGACATCGTCTCTCTTCCTCTTTCGTTGTTTCGTCGACACATTCACGTGAGTTGAATCACTGAATATGTTAATGCCGTCAGTCAAGACCATGGTAAAGCAGCAGCAGCAGAACCATCATACAAACACACATAACATTTGACGAATTCGTCTATCGATGAAGATAGAACGAGTGTTTGCATAAATTTTGGAGTGTGACTAAAAATAGCAAATCACAGAGATCAAGATTTATTGCTGGGCCACGTGGTTCCAACGCCAAAACTTGCAAACAACATGCTCGCCTGTTTTCACTCGCCCGCCCGCCCGCTCGCTCACTCGTTTCATTTAGATTGTGGAAACAATCACAAACACGGATACATGCTCAAAAGGCCAACGTGTATACATGAGCAATTAACAACTATCAGGTTGAAAACCTGGAATACGTAAGAGCAAAAAAAGAAACACAACACAATAATCTCAATCAAACAGAAGACACAAAAAAACGAATGGGAAACATATAGAAGTGAATAAAAAAATCCACCTCAAATTCACCTGCTGTTAATTAACATCAGCGCTGACGAATCTTTCCGCCATAGTAACCAATGGATGAGCGAATATACAAAAATGATCAACGTTCGTCATATGCGCGCAGAACACACACATACACACACACACACACAACAACGACAATAAGTGTATATAAATAAAAGCGAAGAAGGTAGAAGAAGGTAACAGAGAAGAAACGAATAACAACACAAAGATGGAGAAGCAGAAGAGAACGAAAAAAAACAATTCATGTTTTTTTTATTGAACGAAAGGCATCAGCAGACAAAAGAAATCGAAATGTGTGTGTTGTAAGTCATTTTTTTCTTTTTTTTCGAAAAAAAAAATATAATAATATAAAATATGAGCGCAAAATGTATAAAAGAAAAACACACAATAATAATAGAAACAGAAACCAACCAACCCAAAAGAAAAAAAGAAGAAGACGAAGAATAGAAGAATCGGGGGGGAAAGACGGCGAAAAAATGATGATAATAATAAAAGAAACAACGAGAACGTATGGAATAACCGTCATTACGCGAAAATTTCACACATTTCGATGGATTGCTGATTTAACAACATGTCTTTGTCATCGTACCATTGTGTCAGATGAGAGATGGAAAAATAAGATCGCGCGCTGTCGCGATTGAGACGAGCCACGCGAACAACTCTATTCCAACCTCGTACTCTCTCTCTCTCTATCTCTCTGTATCTCAGCGTGACGAAAAGCACACACAGCATTTTCAGCAGATGATGATGATTGCTAATTGCTTTGTGTGTTGGGTTTTCCACAGACATTTCCAGAGTGCAAAGCGATCAAAAACGGCGAACAATAAGAAGAAAACAGCAACAACAACTGAGACACACTAACAAGTTCGACAAGTGATATTACACGCATTCACTGTGTACCGAACCCAAAGAATAGAGTTTATTCAATAAGAGCAGCGCATTCCATACTAAACACTTTCATTCTCGAATGTTCAACGCGAAAAAAGCAGCAGCAGCAGCAACAGCAACAACAACAATGGCGAACATTGCAAGCTCTCTTTCGCTCATGGATAGAGAGCGTTGTAGGCTAGCGAACCGGCTAACGCAAATAACGAAAGCGATCAGATCTATGTAGTTATGCTTTATGAAGCGTAGTCGCCTGATGGCGCATAACACTTTTTATATTTATTCATTGTCTTTAGATTGTACTTGTACTTGTACTTGTACTCTCTCTCTCTCTCTCTCTCTCTCTCTTTCCCTCTCTCTCTCTCACTCTCCATGCCAAAGACGATTTTTCTTCATTTCTCGTTCGTTTGCCCGTTCCAGTCGGTATGTTATATCCATGTACTTGTATGTTTTGTCTCTGTTGTCGCTGCACTTGACGAAAGAGCCACGCGAGGTTTCTCTCTATTTGGATTAACTCGACTTTATTTTTGTTTGTCGGTTCTCGCGTGCGCGCTCGCGTCATTTTCTTCATCGTCGTCATTGGCAAATGTGCGCAATGCTGCTATACTATGCCAGTGTTATAAGAAATAAATGAATAATCGACACACAAAAATGAGAAAAGACTGTGAAATGGTTTGAGCTCAGCGAAGATGACGACAGAGGTGGCAGCGGGCGCGGCAGCAGCAGCAGCAATGTCGACAACGACGATGTCGACAACAATCTGGAGATGGGGAGGTGGAAAAAACCTCATCTTTTCGAATGTCCGCAAACATGGTGTTCGCATAATGAACACGATACCCAGAACGCGCGCGTGGATGACGGAATATGAATAGTGTATATTTTTGTTCAGCTTTTTTTTTTTGAATGTCAATGACATTTCAGCAAATATATGTAATCATTTAAATCGACAAGTAGAAAACAACCCGAAAAAATGTCGTCGAGCGACCGTAGACCCCGTGTGTTAATCGCCATACACACACACACTCTATATCCTCGATATCGCACAAGGGAGAGAAATGCAGAACTCGAATAAAACAAAAAGCTCACTCTATCTATCTATCTATCTATCTTTGGCCAACTATAAAGAAGGCGAAGGAACCGCTCCACTGTGATTGATATTTTGTTCGTACGTAAGTTCGCCCGTTCGGGCTTGATGTTGTTGTTTTTGTTGTCAGCGACGTGATTATCCATTTCATCGGATTCAAATCGAAAGAGTCACAACCAAAATGAGCGAAACGAACGAATCAACGACGGCATAGGAAGGAATGTACAAGAAAGCCGCGTTGAAAGAAACAAAGAAGAAGAAGAAGGAGAAAAAAACTACTAAGCCCAGCAACAACAATTATAAAGAAAGAAAGGAAGAAAAGAAGAAGAAGAAGTAGAAAGAAAAGAGAAGAAAAAACTATCCGAGACCATCCGACAACGGCGCGCTCGATAGAGTGAGAGCCAAGAGCACACACAAGCCGTTCGGTTTGAGAGTGTTGTCAGTCGATATAGGTTGCTCGGTGCACACACAATGAGACACTGTTTAGTTCTCGTATTGAGTTCAGTGTGTTGAGTATCTCTTTCATTCTCGGTTCGTTATTATTATTATATGTATCGTAAAATGCGCATTGAGACGCAGACGGATTCACGAAACAACGCCAATATATCATGATATAATTTTCCCCCGTGCATATGACCAGAGAGGCGATGGTTTAAGTGTACATATCGTGCATCTCTACTCTTCTATTACGACCGAAAATTTGGTTTTTCTTCTCATCTGATTTTTGGTTCGAGTTTTTTTTTTCTCGATTTTTCCGTTGCGACAGATTTGAAACCGTTCATTTTGAAAGCGCTTGAGCGAAACACGCAGGACAAAACGGAAAAACGGCTGTTACTATTTTCAAAACGAAAGGCAAACAGCAACAACAGTCCCCGATGGATTCTTATAAGATCAGTGTTGCGGCCGTGTTATAAAGTGTTCATTTCCGTTAAAGTGTTGAGTTATTTGCAGTAGAAAAAGAAACAGAAAAATCATTGCTCGTGTTGAAAATTTTCAAAATAACAGGAAAAAAAAACACGATATTTACTTTGTGTCGGCTTTTGCCTCCGGCTTTTCCATGCTTAACGCATACAAACTCACAGGCACTCATTGAAGGTGTTTTGCAAAATAAATGTGAACGAAAAAAAAAAACGAAACACTTTGGTGCAATTAATCAAAAGTCGAAATCGGATTTTGTTTGCGGTCGTCGAAATTTCGTACAAACAATACACACACACACATATACACAGGATTTTATTTTTGCTCCGCTGTCGGGAAGAAAAAGAGGAAGAAACAAGAACAAAACAGAGAAAAAGAATCGACGGAAAGCCACTGATTAGATCATTATTATTTCGTTGTTGTTGTTGTTTCGAAACGAAAGAGTGCAGTTCATTTTCGTTCATGTAGATTGGGATTTGTTTAAATGCAGCGCGCAACACAAACGATACTTATTGGATTACAATTTAAAGGCAAAAATCAGCAGCAGCAGCAGCAGCAGTGATGGTGTGTGCATGATTCTCTTATGAATAATGGTGAGTATTGGATTTCACACATTGTAGCATGTACACCACATATATCGTGTACATAGAGGTTTTGACGATAGTTTAGTTATAGAACTAGAAAAAGCTGAATGAAGGCGAAGAATCGAAGTTGATTTAAAAATAAATATGCAATGCGGCCCGAAACGAAAAACAAAAACTAGGAACATTTTGAATTCTTTTGGTGTTAACGTACGGTCGTTTTTTTTTCTCATCATCGTCGTCGTCGTCATCGTCGTTTTTTTACTCTATCTCTTTATTATGCTATGCTATTGGCATTGCAGTGTGTCTGATGGGTATCGTGTGTAGCAGCAATGCGCTTGCATAAAAATTCTCCATCTGATTGTGTGTATTTGTGCAGTTCTCAGTCATTGTCGCTCACATTCGCTTTCTCCCTATCCCTCTCTCTCGCACACACACACACAACGTACTCCTTTCATGTTACATATATTATTTTGTTGTGATTATTACTGTTGCTATTGCTTATTTTTGCTTCGCGCGTCTGGTTTATTGGCGTAGAGCAGGATTTCTACTTTAAATGTCTGTTTTGTGCATCATAACATCGATATATGTATTCACATAGAATTTGGTGTATGCTTCACATTTTACACATATATTTCGATATGTATTTATGTTTATACACTTGAAATGTAAAGCAACAAAAACTAAAAAAAAAAGGAAGAAAGAAGTGTATGTTCGTTTGAAACATCCACCAAAGTCGTGCATGCGACTCGGTCTTTCGTTCGTTCCTGCATTGTGTATGTCTCATAAGTCTCAATATAAATGCATATAAATCTATATGTATAAATGTATGAAAATACGTTTTTTTGTATCGGGCCAAGAACGAAGACACATCGTGTGCGCGCTCCGCTGTTCATGTTTTCGTATTATATGTCGATAGGTTATTATTATATTATGTATGAGCTAGAGTTCGTTGTGTTTCAGTTTCGCTGTTTCAGATTTCTTCGATTCACATTTTTCCCTTTCAGTGAGCGGCGGCTATAAAAAGTGCGACTGCCACACTACGCCGTGAGACAGAGTGAGAGAGCGAAAGCACAAAGCACTTTTCTGTGAGCCGTAGCACTGTTGGCTGGTTGTGGCTGGCTTGCTTGCCCGCTCGCGCTCGCGCTCACTTGCTCGTACAGCACACATTCTTGCGGCTCGTTTCAGCTCGTTTTCTCGATCACACAGTATAGTATTTACAAATCGAGTATATGCGGCGTATATAAAGCGGCGTATATAAAGCGGCCAACGAGTCTCATTCTATGTACACGGTGTACTATGAACGAGCAATGAACATATATAAAACCATATCTTTAGTTTTTATTTTTATTTTTTCTTCGCTAACTCACTCTCTCTCTCTCACTCTCTCTCTCTTCTGTCCACTTCCATTCACGTTTATATTTGGCTATGGCTGTCGCTGTGTATCTCGACCGAATAAGAAATTGTGAGTATACACAATTTTAAATTTCTTTGTACATACACACAGACATGAGCGCGAGCGCGAGCGCGCAAGCGAGAGAGTGAATGAAGCGACGGAGTCATTTGATATGACCTTGAGAATACCTGAACACCACAGAATGAATTTTATTACTTTCGGTGGTGGTGGTGCCTTTGTATTTTCGTTGTTGTTATTGTTATTGTTACCGCCGCCGCCACCGCTGTTGCTGCCGTCGTCGTTGTCGTTGTCGTCGTCGACGGCGATGCTGATGTTTCACATTCGCCGTATGTATGTTGTTTCTCGTGTTTCTTTTTCTTTCTCTCTCTCTCTCTCTCTCTCTCTCTCTCTCTCTCTCTCTTTCTCCCTCCCTGCTCTCTGCTAATCTTTCCCGACTTTGTGTTTTTGTTCGGCGATCGTTGATTTGGTGCATTTGACAGTCGAACAAGACTACGTCGCCCTTTTCAAGCTGAAAGAGTGAGTGAGTTGGCGAATCCGTAGTTATTTTGTTGGTTTTGTGTGTATCGTTTCTTCTTCTTCTTCTTATTCTACTTCTCGTTATTCTTTTTTTATTATTGCTCACATCTTTTGTTTGGTTCATTTAATTTTGGAGTGTTTTGTCTGTCGCTGTGAATCTGCCAGTGTTGTTTTTTTTCTTCTTTTAATATTTCGCTCATCCCATTTCAACTTCTCCTCACTTCCCTCACTCAATTTTTGCATGCCTTTTTTTTCTCTCGTCTCTGTTTCACTTCATACTATTTAAGTTGAGTCGATCATTTGCGTGTGTATTTTTATGTGCGCTTGTAAATATTATTTGACGTTCTCGACTCAATTTTCACTCTGTTCTATTTATATAAATACGTGGATTTTTTTTTAAATTCGTTCTGTTCGCCCGTATCTCAATGCCTATTTTATGGGATGGATGGATTGTTTGATGTATGTAAATGTGGCGTGTTATAATATTAATAATTTCATATTTTTTGTTGGTGTAATGAAACTGACTGTGAGTGTGTTTTGTTTATTTCTAGCAATTTTTTTTTCTGTTTCTTCGGTTCCTTCATCTCGCAGTTCATATGAGAGTTTAATGTAACTTGTTTGGATGCAAAAGCGAGGGAGAGGGAGAGAAAGGGAGATGTTGAGTGAATGAATGTATCGTTCAAATAAGAATGAAATGTATTCTGTTTGAGCGAGAGAGAGGGAGAGAGAGAGAGAAAGACCAAAAGAGAGACCATTAAACTGAAGTCCATTTTTAGAGCCTAGCTGTTTTGCTGTAATGGAACACTAACATTCTTGGGATTTCGCGAAATAAACACGCAAAACGTAATTCTAGTTGCGCTAAGTGTGTTTTCCTTTCCTCGCACTTTTTGAGCTCCTTGCTTCCTCTCGTTCGCTCTCTCGACACACAGAGACTGCACAACAATAATAATTTAACACGGAACGAGAGAAGGAGAAAAAAAAACACCAACCCACTTATGTCAATAGACAGACTTTTTGTTTGCGGAAAATAAATGTTGCCCATTGTATTCGAATGTGAAGTTTTTTAGTTATTTTTTCGGCCCCAAACACACACACACACACACACATTACACACAATGAAATCATTTTGTAGATCCTTTAATAAAAATCAAAAGCAAAATATGAATCATGAAAATAAACAACCTGTGTGCGCTTGTGTTTGTTGGTTAAACGGTGTGAATATGGAAATTCCAACTAAGCAAAACCAAACAATAGCAAAGCAATAACAAAAAAGATGTTATGAATATGTGACAAAAATAAAAGCCATTAAACTGGAAAAACAAAAGGGAAAATGCAAACACAACAAGACGAACGGTAAGGAGAAAATGTTAAGGTTACCTGAGCCTCCTCCGCCTCCACCTCCGCCTCCGTATCGATTGCCGTACTTGAGTATGAAGATTGGACTGCGGTCGTTACCAACTGGGAAGCGGTTATCAGATGTTGGATACCGTGTACCAGTTATGGTCGTTCCATAATATCGGCCATCGGATTCTGGGTAACGATCGGGCCTTTGATCTGGATACCGATTTTCCGGATAATAACGGCCTCCCATATCACCACCACCACCACCAATGCTATTATCCATGGGATATCGAGCGGGTGGATAACGCGGTGGAATCCGACGCGTTGGCGGGAACATACCACCATATCGATCATCCGGCCGGTATCTATTACCACCACCGCCACCAATGCTATTATATCGATCGTCTGGTCGATAGCGATCTTCGTATGGATATCGATCTTTGATGTTTTATTTTCAGTATTTTTTGTTTTGTTTCAGTTTGTTTGTTTCATTGGTCGATTTATAGCGTGAAAATTACATATTAATTGGTTTTAGTAAATGCTTGTATTGTTTTCGTTTTTTTATTTTATCAAGCGAGCAGAACATTTCTCTGCATCAAATCACGATTTCAATGCTCGTTGTAATCAATTTTGGTCGATCGCAGCCATTTTATATTTAGAAATGAGCAGAGAAATGTGCTTCTCATTAGTTATTATGATTTGTTACAATGGTTTTAATTCAACTTGACTATTGAAGCACGTTTTATGTGTGCTCTTCAAACACATGTTTTGATTGAGAGTCGAGATAAAATGTGCTACTCTGTTAAATGTGTTCACATTGTGACTTTGAACTCGAAATTCAGAGCGCTTCACTTGTAAATATATATATATATATATTGTATGTGTATAGTCTAATCAATGAAAATGCTTATTGCACAAAACTCACCATATGGTGGTCGATAGCCACCTCCTCCTCCGTATCCATCTCCGCCACCGCCACTGCCGCCACCACCGCCGAAGCCCATATAGTCAGGATATCGTTCGTCTGTTGTTTTAATGGGAAAAATGCGTTTAGTATTTTAGACAAAGTAAAAAACCTTGACTTTTGCAAAACTGCAACATGAGCACAATATACGAACCATATCCACTGCTGCCACCATCTGGTCGTAAACCGTTCATTGGATAACGGTCGGGGCCCATCGGATATCGATTCGGTCCACCATAGCGGTCGTCGTCTGGGTATCGGCTTGGGATACGATTACGATCTCTATCTCGGTCCCGATCGCGGTCTCTATCGCGGTCACCTTTAAATCATTTTAAAAAGAACAAAACAAACACACAGCCATAAATTCTATATGCAATTTCAATCGACGGATTAATTTCTTGGTTGAATCGATATCGTTCTTATTTCCCGCGCTCTCCTTTCATTTAATGAATGGAATTGCGGAATTGCTGTTGAATCCAAAAGCATTATAATTACGATAAGTGTTTTGTTCGTCGATTTGTTCGCGTTGTCATGCAAAAACGAATCACTCTCTGAATGCAATAACAATTAGTAAAATTACCATAATAAGGCGGTTGCCAATCGGGTCTGTTCATGTTTGGTCGATCACGATCGTCTCCGTCTCCACCTACTGCAATGTCGAATGGGATAAAAAATGTCGATGCGATGACATACGAGAGAATAAGAGTGATTGGTGAGTGTGAATTGTGTGTATTGGCGATTAATTCACATCGGTTGAACAGAGAGCGCGTACAAGGTAGGGAAAAAAAGAGAGAAAAGAAAACAATATTGTTTCAGTAAACACCAAAAAGCAACTACACCAAATCACGGTAAATGTGTTTGTCTTTGTTTTGTTCTGTTTCTACTTCATTGTGATACATACGCATTAGATTTTCATAGTAATCATAGTCAGCATCATAAATAATGCGCATTCCATCTTTTTGATTGTAACGGCTTAATCGGCACGTTCTAAATCGATCCGAGTACACGGCCGATCGACATTGGAAACTGGTTTGACGCAAGCATTCGTCTAAACATTCGCTCAGCGAACGTCCAGTTATTTCCGAATGAAATTCACCACCCAAACGTGAATTGCGATATCGTTGAAATGCTGTATCAGGCCGTCTGCCACCAGAAAATAAATGCGAAGTACCTGAGTTGTCTGGATACTCTTGACCGCGTTCTAATTTCATTCATTCGGTGTGCGGAACATTTTAAATGAATAGATACACAACAAGAGACGAAGAAATACAAAACGAGAAGGGAAAAAAAGCAAAATTTTCGTCGATTTAGAATGATTTATCAGAATTATAAAAATACATGTACAGCGACACAAAGTGTTCGCATGCGAATGCCATTTGGGCCACTTAACAAAAATTGAACTATATGACTTACGGTTATCCAAACAAACGAGATCGTAAAAATGATGTGTCGGACTTGAGCTCACACTTATGTCATCCTTTTGCGATATCGAATCTTCCTCCGACAGTATACATTGCTTTGTTTGATCGTCGAACTCAACCGAACGACAGAAATACCTAAATAAATAAAAACACAATTTTAAATGCTGTTGCATGTGCGCATTCGTTCAGTGAGTGAGTCGAGGCAGCCAGGCAGTTATTCAATACAAAATATGAATCGTCGTTATCGCAATGTCATTTCCAATGGTTTCATTGCACTATTGTATCGGCATGATGTGCCTCATTTTATTGATTTTCTTCTTCTTCTTCTTCATTTAAATTTACTTACTTCTCGGCCCGGACGCACATCGTTTGACATTCCTCAAGGGTCATGTTATTGAATATATCCACTTCGAATGGGCCACCAAGCCGTTTATTCTCCTCTTTTACGAACACAGCCAAACCATCGCATCGTCTTTCCGCTGAAATGGACGACAATCAATCACATTAAAAATCATTGATCTTCATCATCAAATTCTCCGAAAGTCCATCAATTTTGATTTAACAAGCGATATAAAACTTTCCATTGAACGACATTACCATTCAAACAAGTATTTTCCAAATAATCTGAGTTTGGGTCATCTTCCATGAGTTCTGGATGCGTTCGCCGCGTGAAGCGACTGAGTGAACAGCTACGAAGATTCGAATCAAAATTCGCCGAACGACACACAAACGAAAATTCATTCAAACATTTATCTTCGCAATCCGATCGATTGGCGGCCGTTATCTAAAAAAAGAATTGCACCAAAGGGAATTCCGTTAGAGAATTGGAAATCAAAACAATACTGAAAATGGTGCAAATTCATTTGACATACTTCCTTAATATCTGATACGGGCAGTTTAAGCTTTTTCCGTGGATGTCTTTCGAATACATATCGGCGACTAGGACACTCACGTTCGGGCCGACCCGCTACATTTCGATGAATACCAATTTTACCAGTTATAATTTACAACACAGGGCCGAAAGACGTAGAAGTGTGAGAAAAGAGAAAAAATGTAAAAAAAAAAAATCACAGCAATTTGGCAAAATGGAGAAAGAGTTCAAAAGCCAATAAAATTAGCACCATAACACATCACTTACATGCCAAGCAAATTTCCGTGAAATGGACACTGTTTGGTACGAGCATCAATATGCCAATACCCTCAGGAGCGGGCTGTTCCCGTGTTAGATAGCATGTTGATTCTTCATATTCGGCGCTGCCGCTATACGATGCAATTCGGCTGCCCGGTTGAAAGTCAAAACTTGTGCAGGCTCGCACCAAATTATTGGAAGCGGTACGATCGCGTAAGCATAAATCTTGACATTTTTCCAGCACTCGAAATGGTGGCGCTGTATCACGAACCACATCATCATCGAAGCCTTGTAACTGCTGATTTGGCAAACGTTCATATAGCACTCTACCTTGTCCATTATTACATGTTGTTTGACCTAAATACCAATTGACACAAAATAAATGCAGTTCATAAATTGGGGAGGGAAAAAAAAGATAGCGAGAGAGGAAGCTTGTGTGCTTAATGCTGCATGCACATCATCATGTACAAACCGACACATACACAAACACACACGTATGTATCGAGGGTTCACAAAAGCAACATAGAAGGACATTCTCGATAGATGTGTTGTGTGTGTGTGTTTATGTGCACGGAGGATGACTTAAATGCGACCGGATGCATGCCATTGCAAATACAAACAATTTGTGTGCAAACTTATTTTCAAGCTAAAGAATTGAACACTCACCGAACACAGATGCGATCCTTATTAGAATAACTAAGAACAAAACTTCCGATATGCTCGGCAAGAGTTTCTGTCTTTTACGCATTTTTTTGTTCTGTTTATGTTGCTAGATTTTTGTTTTCGTTATATTTTGAATATTGAGTGTGTGACTAAAAATGTTTCGATATAGTAGTTCATATGCACATGGTTTTGTTGGCGAGGAAGCACCTACAATCAGTTGTGTTTTTTTTTTATTTCGTTGGTTGGTTGTTTTGTGTTTTTCGACACACAAGCAACAGACACGTGCAAATGGAAGGAAACGAAAATGAAACGAAAAAAGAAGAAAAAAAAAAAGAGCAAAATAAACGAACATCAAAATCAGTGAAATGCAATGTTGTGGAAAGGCTGAATAAACAAAAACAAAACGAAGATGAACGGGAACCTAGAAAAAATCTAGGTTAAGCTATAAAACAATGTTATGTTATGTTATTATTACGATTTTTTGAGGCATTTTAAGGCAGCGAGAGTAGCGGATATTTTTTCGTTACCCATGAAAATTATTGCATAATTTTCTAAATTCTTGATCCAAAATCATTTTAACGAAAAATATCAATTGTAAAATTTTGTCAGTTTTTTTTTTACTGTTTATTTCTCTACTGCGCTGCCAATGCTGTTGTTGTGGTTGTATCATTCAAAAATAAGCTGTATGAGGCCATCAGAAAATACCATTTGCATGCATTGACGAAAATGGATTCGATCGAAAATTGGAAAACACACACACAAAAATGCCAGAGAGCACCACCTCTTAACCACTCTTAAAAGGTGCTATTTTAAATTTTGTCATGCATATCGGCCGATTGAGTGCTGCGAAGAACGGATTAATCACACGACAGACAAAAAAATGCAAACAAGAAAAAAAACCAACCAATTCAATCAAAAAGTGTGATGGAGCGGGAGAGAGAGAACGATATACACAGATGGAGATAGAAATAAAAGGAAATTTCAAAATTGTGAAATTTCAAACATCATCATCATTAAAATGGAAAAAAATGGGGTCACTGCGAAACAATTATCATGAGTCGTCATCGTCATTTCACTGATGAATCAATTTCACCATAGAGGACAATAACAACGAACGGTATCTATTTAATAAAAATGTGGCGTATTTTTGGATTCAATATTTAGCGGACACTTGTTCCCAATTCCGAAAAGAATGAAAAGTGTGCATGTGGTGCGGTGCGTACCTTTTCAACTGTGAATGGTTGACACGTGCCAAATTTGGTCGAGAAGAATGGAGTACAGGGTGCGGACGCGTGAGAAATGAATTAATTGGATGACTTTCAATTGAGTGGTTTTTAAAGGGAAAACCCAAAATGAAAAGAAATTCCTTTTTTTAGCATCATTTGATGATGCATTTGCGATACTCGCACTTAACTGTGCCTGTGCGTGTCTCTCTCAATTGTTCAAACAGATTCGCTTCGTATAATGAGGCAATAAACAATTTCGTTCTTTTTTTCTACTGCATCTGCTGTTTGATCGGAATATGAATTCTGATTTACGATATTGTTCTATTTCGAATCAAATAATTATTGAAAGAGATAGAATCCGATGAACAGAACGAAAATGAAGAAGTGAAATGAAAAGAGCGAATCGAATGCGAGTGAAAAATGCAGAAGAGCAAAAAATCCACATATACACATGCATAGAAAAAATCTAAACTCACGCTCGCTAAAGCTGAGAGATAAAATAGCGAAACAAATATCTAAAAAGTTCAGAATGCGTGACAAAATCAGCAAATCCAATCGGCGGAAGTGAGTTCCGGTCTTTTGTCGTCGTCGCAATGAGTTATTTATCCACCTGAAAATATACTCGCTGCTGCTGCGGCTGCTACGATTGCGACTGAGATTCGGGGAATATGTGTGATCGCGCAATAATTCGCTCGCAACGCTAGAACACGTTCACATGAGCTCAAACACACCAAATCGCTCTCACTCTTACGCTCACTGGCTGCTTCAGCGGACAGTACGCGAGAACAAATGTGTGCGTAAGTCTTCATTCGCATTTCGCTTTTGATTTCATCGTCACCATTGTGTTTGGCGCGTTCTATTCACATATCGCTTGTTGCTTCTTTTTTTTTAAAACGGCAATAAATTGTATACAAATAAAGAGGCATTAAAAAGGCGGCGGCAGCAGCAACAGCAGCAACGAATGAACGCAATGTAAACAGAACGAGGGAACTCAAACGCGCATGAAAAAGATGAATTACACACCATGAGAATTTACGTAGGCGTCTGTCGCTTTAGAATGTGCTTAATAAATTTTCGTATTTTAATAAACCTGCACCGAAATATATGCTCTACAATAAAAAATGGTGTGTGCGTTTGCAGGCGACTAATTAAAACAGCAAAATTCACATTGGCGTGCGCGCGCGCTCGTATTTGGCATTTGATTCCTGGACATAACGATGTGACCATTTGAAATGAGGGAAAAAATGTAACGGTGCGATTGTATGCAATCGCTGTTTGCGATCGTTAAATTCATGTTACTGTTGTTGCCGTCGTCGTCGTTGTTTTTTTTTTTGCGGTGGTGATTTCCATGGTTGATAAATTTTGTTGCTCATTCTCGGCTCTCTCGTGTTCATTCACTTTATCCCTCGAAGGTGTCAAACCACAAGGGGCGGAGCACTCAACGGTGCGATTGATTTTGAATAATTTTTCGCCGAATGCCGTCGCTTTTGTGCCAAAACGAATTTATTCACTTTTGTTTCGCTTTTTTTTCTGCGTTCATTTCATGTTGGCGCTTGGAGCGTTTGCAGGACTCGGACACACGAACAAATTTTTTTCATTAGTCATTCCTTAGAGTCATTGACCAGTTTTGTAGTTCGCAAAATTTACTATACATATTGCCATTTATTTATGTGCTTTTGTTCGCTCCATCTCTCACTGACTGGTGCGTTGGGCGCTCATTGCGTTAAATATGTATGACAAGATGATAGGGCCTCGAGTTGATACCCAAATGCGATAATATTTTATTTCACCACTCGAAATAGGACGCTCCAGAAGAATGAGTGCGCACGATGACCAGTGACGCGGGCGACACATCAACATCTCAATTCGTTTTAGGTACATTGGCCCGAAACGAATCCGCACAGAGTTCAATTGCCGTCATCGCAAGCCAGACCATTTCCATAATGTATGGTTGGAATTTTGTTTTGTTCGTGCCAACACATTTTTTGCCGTGGTAAAAAGTCCTATTCCCTCTGACGACATTATGATCGATATATCATTCAATTACTTTGACATGTTTCGTCAACAACCCCATTTCAGCATTATTCTCCATATGATTATTAGTGCGTTCACAATATTTTTTTTTTGTCATCGCTGTTGTCGACTCCTGAGCCAATTAACTAGTTCTTTGTAAGGATAAAACTATTTTCGATCTGAAAATTCGATTTACATAGAAGGTTTCGACATTCTAATTATAGGGTTGGCGGTTCCCCTTGTTTGGTGGCATTTTGATTGAGTGTATTTCAAACGCGTGTAGTTATTACATGTGTGCAGCATACAGTGTGCGCTGCATCAATACTGATTTGAATATATGTTGAAATAATTTCATGTTTTCTATATTCGGATTGAGTCAATCTGATTGACACATTTTTTTTTGTCGTTCAGTCGATATGGAATCAGTAGTAAGTAGCAATCAATATTCAAAGTTGTCTCAACAACTTTTCATTTATAAACATTTATTGAATACATGCTCATTCACCGAAAATTAATAGTTAGTTTGAGAAGTTGATGGAACGACACATCAAAAACCAGTTTCACCCTTTTTTAAATAATTTTTCTTCTTTGAAACGTTTAAAGGGGTATTTTTAGCATTTTCAATATGCTTTAACCATTGGCAATGCTAAAAGTGTATTTTTTCTGTGGCTTCACACAATTTGCAGAAATGAAACGAAAATTTTGAACAAAATTTGTGTATTTTCTTACCTAACTTGTTAAGTGTAGTATAGTCCTTAAATATCCGTAATCCTTTGTCAAGAAAAGCAGCAGGCACCTGTTGGACGGCTCGGCCAAGGATCCAAAAAAAAAGGTGCACAATTTTCTTTTTATTTCTCTCACACAGTTCACTTGCACTGATTTTTGTTGCACTTGATGATGACGAGAGAAAAAATGTATCAATTTATTCACTTTCCGTCGATTTGATTTTATTCTGGGCAGTTGTTGGAAAAAATTGTTCTCAATCGTATTGAATTTGAACAAAAATCGCATCCGTTAAAAGTAGAAAAAAAACGGTCTGATATTGTCATGTGTCTGGTGCGAGGAAGAATTTTCAATATCGACTGCTCGCGACCAAATCTCCGCAATAACTGATTATTTTTTAAAAATCTGTTAAAAAATATAGTTTTTTTTTTCTTTTGTGTATGCTGTTGCGCTGCTACTGTTGTGTATCGTTAGTCGCATTTATTTTGTCGGTCGGTCAGTTTGGAATAGAGATAGAGACAATGCAAAAGAGAGGCGAACGATCACAATATTACACATACGATTCGTTATTTTTTTTCTCTCTACATTTATTGTATGTAATCTATTGTTATGCCGATGTTGATGATGAAGCAAAATGCGATGACGATACAGAGATATCGGTACATGACAATACACATATAGGCATAAAAATGGTTATTTTTTGTCAGAAAGCAAAAAACACACATAAAATGGAAAAAAACAAAACACACACACACACACAAACAAACCCACTCTTGCTAAGCAGGTACAATCACAGTAACTGTTTCCGAATGCAAAAAAGAGAAACAACAACAATAACAAAAGGGCAAATGTAATAAACGTGAAAATACAAAAAAAAGAGAATAATAATTAAGCCTAGTGTAACGCGCGCACCTCATGGCTTGTTCTAGCCATAGAACAGTTTCACCGTGAACTATTCCGTATCTCACACTCTCTTTCTGTCCCGCGCGCGTCCACGCTCTTTCGCACACTCACAGCAATGTTGCAAAAGAACTTTCGATTGAAATCATATAGGCTGTAATTAACGAGGCTGATGCTCCGTGCGCGCTCAACCCATTCTTAAAACATCACCAAACGGTATATCGCGAATATTCTGAATGAATTTTTGTTTCTAAGGACATATTTTTAGAAACGCGTTTTTTTTTTGTTCGTTCATTCTATAATTGAAATTTCACAGAATCAAGAGGAAATGCTACTTAAGATGAGAAAGTGGATTTCATGGGAAATTGATGGAATAAGCATTTTTCCGAAAACATTCATCCCTTTTTTTCGGTGCTCATGCCGACTTCAACATCCAAAAAGACGCGGATTGAATCGGATCGAATGCTGAATTTCGTTAAAATGTGGGTGGCTGAACTGAAATATACGTACATTGAAAAGATTTATGGCGCTCTTGTCAATGATCGATCCGAATGCCGTGTGTGTGGGTGTGTGTGTACATGCTATGCAATGAGCATGGTGTTAGCACTACGTGCACCTGGTGTCCATACTCACTCTTACTTCAGCCACACACTTGATTCAGTTCACGAGCACTCTTGTGAATATACACCGAACGGCGCGCACACATCATAAATATGTAAATGTGAAAGGTCTCTCGCTCACCGTATTTTTCACCGAGATGGATAGAGAAAACGGATATTCTTTTGTCTTGATTTTTCCGGAAATTTCAAACTGTATTGAAATAATGAACCAAAATCAGAAAATGATGTGAAAAAAAGACATGAACCGACTGAATGTGAGCAACGACAGCTAAGCAACAACAACAACAACAACAACAAACATGAGCGCATACGAGTGAGTGAATAAATGAGTAATGCGATCAGCAATCGAATTGAATGTGTAGCATCGTAGTTGGTCGCAATGCGATTATGGATCGATGATTTTACCGTGGCGAATTGAAACAGATGACCAAATCACACTTGTGACACATCGCTGTTCATCTCTGTCACTCCGCGAGTTTGTTCACCGCGCGCAAGCAGCGTTGCTGATGGCAATCCAAATGCGAAGGAAAAAAAGAAGAACTAAAGACCAACAACAACGAATGAAATCAAAAAAAAAACATTCAATGCAAATGACATTATATTACGATAAACGCTCGCATATCGGCGACACAACCGTTTAATTACTGGGCGATGTTATATGTTTGCGCGCTCAGCATGCGGTCTGAATGTGAATATTACCGAAAAAGAGCATCTCTCTCGCATTGAAATGCTACCATTTACCTAACATTGATTCGTTATTTTGTCGTTGTTGTCGTAAAAATCAACACAGCAACAACAAAAGCAAACAAAACAAAAGAAATGGTTGCAAACAATGATAATTTCGTACATGAAACGATGCTATTGATTTGTAAACTGTGTATGGAATTGGTATCTGTGGGATGATTCTCGAATTTGCTTTATCATCGCAGCGCAGAGAATCGAAGTATCGGTTCAATAGGTTTCTCATGACCGATCGTGACTCTTTCTTTTGTTTTGTGATGCATTGTGCCGTTGCTGCTGATGCCGTTGAACTAAAAACACAAGCCACCAAATAGAATGGAACCGTACGAGTGTCTCCAGTTGAATGAGCATAAATATGCATAATTATTGGGTTTTTGTTTTTCCCACTTGCAATAGCGTTTGAAAATTGGATCCGTTAAATTTGGCTCATTGAATTGCCCAAAAAAACACACACTCTCTCTCTCTCACACACACACAGAAACCGTTTGTGCTATGATACACATTGTTGATTTAATTCGTGTAATTAAATTTATATTGTCATCAAAAGGGAAGCAACCAGGGTCAATAAACTGACATATAGCCAACGCGCATCCAATTCACCCAGCAATCTATTGCTAGATGAGCAATTTATATAAATTATTTTTCGGCGATATATCAATGGAAATACCGAAATAATTACAAGCCGACGCTTTTCTCTTCGTTTATTTAATTGAGGCAGAGAGATATTGTCTTTGATAAAATGGTACGGTGCGGTGCGGTGCGGTGTGGCGTACTTCGGCCACAGCACGTTTTTTTCTCTCATGGGAACCAACAACCGAACCGATGTTAATTCGTACTTGATCGAGAATATGTCAAACGCAACAGGCCAATTTATTTCGTAATGTGTTTCCATTTTCATCATTGATCCACGTTCGACAGCATTATCCTTAAAACGTTTGGTTGGTAGGCAGCGAGGCAGGCACCCACTCATTCATTTATTCGCTTTCATTTCGCGGTCGTGTGCGTGCATCCAGGCAAATAACATCACAACAACAGCAACGACAAAACAACGGCTCATAATATTTGGCTCAAATGAGTGAAGTTTGGTGTCACAACAAATGTTAAAACAATAGCCGCAAATGAAATTAAAATCAATTCGAGCCGCAAATTTGCCAGTGAATATCTGTTAGGAAATTTTCACTTAATTACATCATCATCAGACGTGATTTCATATCGACCATGGCTTTGTGTTTGGCTGTCATTTTACCGAAGAGGAAAAAAAAAGACGGCGAAAAAAAACGAGAGCGCACACACAAAAAGCGATGGCCTCAATTTGATCCGGGTCCCCAAAAATACAAAGAAATGAACGACAAAAACAACAACGACACAAAATGTTGTCCGCATGCAGAGAATTTAGAACAAAATTTAAATATTTCTACCGAAAAAAAAACAACAACAAAAAAGTCGACGCAATTTTTGGACGGCTTTTGAAATTGGCAGAAATACTCTCAGTGTCAACAAGTAGACAAAAGAGGAAAAAAAGACACACAAAAATGAAAACATCCAAATAAATAACATAATATTTAAATTAACAATTGAGAATTGGAGCATCCAGCAGTTATAATGATATATATTTGACGACCCACAAAAATACGCACTGTGCACATATCTCAAGGGTCCTTTCATGCAAAATCTAATGAAAATTCTATTGAATTTTTCTGTTGAATTTTTGCTGATCTGAAACAAGTAGAATCGCTGTAGGATCCATCATAGTGTGAATGTCACACGATGCGAGCGACAGCGGAGCGCAGACGATCCATTTGAATGCAATCCGTACACACATACAGAGAGAGAGAAGAGGAGAATGATGCATTCGAAATGGAATCAGTGAGGTGACAAGGCCATAGTCACGGTGGCGCTTCTCTTTGCGCGTTAATTTAACATAACTGTGGTAATTTATCGATGTAAACAACAATAACTCATTTCCAGCAAGAGTCTTTTTTGACATATCAATAACACATCACTCGCGCGCGCGCTCCACTTGGCTGCAAAAAGTCTGGATGATATGATTTGTTTGAGCTTGCTGGCCAGCTAGAGATCATTTTGTTGATGCACATCATAGATACGACAAGACAATTACGGATGCAATTGTAATTGCCATCAGGCCGCAACGTGAATTAAAACATGTTCGTCTATTATGCTGTTTTTTTTTCGGCAATTCATAAATGAATACAATTAATGGGGAACTTGCTTTCATGTGTTAATTTTTCTTTGTTACTGTTGTTGCGATGAGAAAGAGGGAGAAAGAGAGCAAAAAAAGTGCACTCCAAGGTGCTTCATATCATCGATATCAATGGCCTCCAAAAAGTTTATGCATGAGAAAGTGTATTATAATGAGCATGACGAGAAAGAGAGCTGTGTGTGTGTGTCTGGTTCGCATTTCAAATTGAAAATAGCTCAGCACACTCAGTGCATAAGCGATAAAAATATTACGTTTTTTTATACATATTTTTGGTCAGTATAAGTAAGCAGTGAAAAATTCTGTCGTTAACTTGAACAAAATTTCGGACGTTAGTCGATTGGATGGTGTATGTTGTTTCTATGTATATGCCTTTTTTGTTATAATTTTGGGGAGATACGCTTAAGTGATTCAATTCAGACACGAAAATGACACGCGCTTGAGCGTTCAACATGCAAAAACATGTCTAGAAAGAGACCACGTTGAGCGGCCGCCTTCGAATTTCGGATACACGGCTATCGAAATAGAAATGATGCACATACACACAGTGTGTATTTACTGCACATTTGAATGCGCCCGCTGATAAAATAATTTTATTCGAATGTTTGATTGCGCGATTAAAAGAGTGCGTGGCCCGATTCATCATCATCATAATCATAATCACAATCATAATAGCAGCGCCGAGCTGTTGATGCGTTTGAGTGTGAGGTATGAATTATCTATTTTATGTCGTTCATTTTACCATTGAATACCTCCTCTACCGAGAGTGCCACATTCTGAACTTGATTTCAATCGCTGCACTCGTCTATATTATTAAATTAAATTATTTGACACACAATGAATGAAGTGAACTGAATGGAAAATGAAAATAACAAAAAGACTGCATCAACTGCAACATTTGCACGGCAACAACAAAAAAGCAGCAGCGGTGACAATAACAGCAGCAGCGAAAAGATATGACAAAAAAAAACTCACACACAACCAAAGAACGTAAGCACACCGCGTAACGTGAGCACAATATGGTGAAAACACCATAGCGAATAGATAACGCAAATGCATATCATAAATGGGGAGATAGTGATCAACAGCAAGAGAGAGAGAGAGAGAATGCGACAATTTACCTGTAGAAAAAAGACACACT